TGACTAAAGGTAATAACCTTCCCTTAAACCCCTTTCTAGGTCTTTAAGACCTAATAGCTTAGAATTAACTTAGTTTAGATTAATTAAATTAATATGATACCTCTAGTTTATATAATTAATTACATAATAGGTATAACTATATAGCTATAAGCTATTTTATATAGGTATTAAAATAATATATTTATTATACTATTAGTAAGAAGGGTTAAAAGCTAGGTTAGGAAACTTACTTATAAGTTTATACTTAATTACTTACTTAGCTAGGATTTAACTAATCTTTAAGGCTAGATAAAGAAAGAAGGGTGACTTAATTACTAAGAGCTATTATTAATACTGCCTGGTTAAGGCAGTAATTATATTACTAAGGTAAATAAACTTTATATAATTTTAGATTCTATAATAATAGCCTGCTATAGGGGTCTTACTATTTAAGCCTTAATAGAAAAGTTAAAAAGCTTAATATTTTTATATAAGGCTAATAATAAGGAAAGAAAAAAATAAATATAATACTTTAATAATATATTCTTAAGTTATTTATTAAATTCCTTTATAATAATTTATTCTCCCTAGTTTAAACTACTGCCTTTTTATTTTTATATATAAGGTTAATTAGTTATATATACCTTACTATATATATTTAATTAATAGAGGCTAGTTATAACTTTAGGTTAATTTAACTTTAACTAACTAACTTATATAAAAGTTAACCTAATTCCTTTAAATTTCTATAAAACCCTGCCTTTACCAAGGCTACTTAATCTAACTTAAGGTAATAACCTTCCTTTAGGCCCTTTTTTATGTCTTTAAGACCTAATAGCTTAGAATTAACCTAGCTTAGATTAATTAAATTAATATGATACGTCTAATTTATATAATTAATTAAATAAATTAGGTTATAAGTAAAAATAGCTTTCTTAATAAGGTTAGATTTATACCTTATTAAGAAGTTCTCCTTAATAGTAATTACTATTATATAAATCTCTTTAAGTTCTTTTTTATTAATTATATCTAAGGCAGGCCTAATAGCCAAATTAAGGTTATCACTAATTAAATAATAAATATAATTATAAAACTATAGGTTATTTTTATACACTAAGTATTAAGATAATATAATTATTATATTATTAGTAAGAAGTGTTAAAAGCCAGGTTAGGAAACTTACTTTTAAGTTTATACTTAATTACTTACTTATTTAGGGTCTAATCAATCTTTAAGTAGAAGTATAATAAATAAACTAGGCATAGTATTCTTTTAGGTAGGATAAAGAAAGAAAGCTAACCTATCTGCTAAGTAGTAATTAGTCTTAATACTACTTAGTTAAGGTAGTATCATACTATTAAGGCAGATAAATGTTATATAATTTTAAATTCTATAATAATAGCCTGCTATAGAGGTCTTACTATTTATGCCTTAATAGAAAAGTTAGAATGCTTAATAGCCTTATATAAGGCTAATAATAAGAAAAAGAAATACTAATAATAACCTTTAATATATATTTCTTTACTTTCTTTAGTATTTTTATATTTCTTAACTCCTTATATATATTTATCTTTAGGTAATACGTATATTTCCTGTTTTAATTTTATTATATAATAGTTTATAAGGGTATTTCTATGTATTTTTAAGTTATTTATTTTCTTTATAAAGGTATCCTAATATTAGTTATATTATACCTTCTTTATATCTTATACTTTAGGAGTATTAATAGTAATAAGTATATATTTCAGTTTATATTACTTTCTTTTATTTAATTACTTTTCCTTTCTTTAAAGTATTATTTTAATAAACCTAGGTATGTTATACTTAATAATATACCCTTTTTAGTATTTATTATAAAAGTTAATTTATTATATTAGATATTTTATTTTTATAAAGATATTATTTATTCCTTTAGATAACTAGGCTTATTTATATATATTATGGGTAGTTACCCTTTTTTTTCTTCTTAATAACCCCTAAGATTTATACTTTTCTGAGTCCTTATTTTAATATATTTCTTTATTATAATATATTTTCTCTTACTTATATATTTTCTTTTAATTAATATATTAAGTCTTCGTTATATTTTCTCTTTTTAATTATATAATACTCCTTTTATTATTTTTTAAACTTATTACTTTTATTATTTTTTATATATTTGCTCTTATACTTAACTAAGGCGTTTTATTTTACTATTTCTTTATAAGTAAGGAATAGGTCTTATAGCTTTTTTTAATTAAGCTATCTAAGTAAAATACTTAATAAAGCCATAATTAGAGAAGAATAAAAGTAAAAGTTAAGAGAAAAATATATCATAAGCCCTAATAATCTTAAATACTAAGACGCATTATAAAGATATTAATAAAATTAAAAACAATAAATGATAAAATAAGTTAATACACTAAGTATATTTTACTAAATTATATAAAGAATAAAGCTATAAAAAGAAACCTAGGTAAGTTAAAATACTAAGAGTTATTAAAAGTAAATATAAAACTATTAGCTTATAGGAGAATAAGAAACCTAAGTAGGTATATATTCTTCTGCTTCTTTATATTAGGAATAAGTCTTATAGCTTTTTAATTATTCTTTATATATATAATTCTTATCCCTTAGAAGTAATATTATTATATATTTTATAACTAGTCTAAGTTATTTCTAGTATTTAAATATAAATAGTTATCTAAGGGTCTTATTATCTAATTAGTCCTAGGGTTTACTTACCTTAGTATAAGTCCCTAGGTTAATATAATTCTAGGCAGCTTTATAGTTTATGATTATTCTTATTATAATTATAGTATTTAGCTTTATATATATTTTACTATTAATTATTACTATTCTCAGGCTAAGTAGCTCTAAGTAATATAAGTTTTAATTATATTTTATATAAGGTATTACTTAATAGGTTTTCTTATTATTATTTCTAGTTTTAATAGTTAACTTATCTACTATTTTATTACTAGTTAAGGTAATATAAGTTAAAATTACTTTCTTATCTTACTTTAATCCTAGTATTTCTTTTTTCTTTTATATTTATATTATCTCTTATTAATTTTAGTTACTATAATAATATATTTTATAATATGATTAAGTGAATCTGCCTTATATAGCTTATCCTTAACCTCTTCGTTTAATCCTCTATAATAAATCTTTGGTAAGGCTTTATTATCTTATTAAGTTTTAAAGGTAAGTTATTAAAATTTAATAAAATAGGCTATATATAAATAGGTTATTTATGTATTATAATTTTAATAGCCACTTAGTATTGCTTGTTAATTACTTAAATACTATTTTTAAAAGTAATTTTAAAGTTATTTTAATTAATAAAGATATTAATAATTTCCTAGTTTTATATAATTTCCTTATTCTCTAAGTAGTCCCTAAGGATAAATTTAAATTAATTTCTAGTATTTCCTTAGATTATAGGTATTATATATAATACTTTCTTTATAATTATATTTAATTAGGAATTAATAAAAGTAGGCCTTTATTCAGGTTAGGAATAAGACTATATTAATAGCCTATCTCTTAAAGGGTCTTAGCTTAAATAGCTTTAATACTTCCCTAGTATTTAATAAATCTTACTTATTATTTTTATTCTACTAAGTAGTTCTTTAATATAAGAGGGTATTAATTTAATATTATTATAATAGTTAGGCTTTCTAAACAAGTAAACTAGTCCATACTAAGTTACATTTATAAATAATATAAAGCATAGTACTAAGTAATATAAAGTATTATATCTCTTAATAATTAAGTAATATATATTAGGCTTGGTAATATAAAAATATTTTATTAATAGCTAATAAGCTAAGTCTTATAAAAGTGCTAATAAATATATTTTATATACTAATAATAATTATATAAGAGTATTATAATATGAGGTTATTATTAGTCTTAGAATAATATAATTCTAGAGTATTATTATTCTTATACTTATTAATCCTTCTTAGATTAGCTACCTAAGGTAAAGTCTCTATAGGGTATATATAATACAACTACTAGGATTATAATATAATTTCTCCTCTTTATTAATCTTATCCTTAAGGCCTATTAAACTAAATAATATTATTCTTCTTTTAGTAAGGCCTAACTTAAATGTTTTATTATTATATCTTATAATATCTAATTATATATCTAAGTAGTTATCTTATAAAGATTATAAAATCTAAATACTTACTCTTTTTATTAAGTTTATTAATAAAAACGCTAATATGCCTTATATTTATTACTTTAAGGTAGGCAAGAAGTATTTAATATTTACTAATTCTACTTACTATAATAAGTATAATTAGATTAAAAAATCGTAGCATAATACTTATATTATATCTTTTTATTACTTATTATGTATTATTTTATTAATCCTTTATTAAGTATTATAATTATAAATTTAATAAAAAAAAAACTTAAAAAAAATAAAAATAAAATAATTAAGGATTTTCTTAAACTTTATAAGGAGATAGTAGTATTATAATCTTATTTAGCTTTAGTTATTAATTATTTATTTAGGATTTATAAAATTTATAATTATATAAAGGAAAAGTCTTTTAAACCTACTTATTATAGCCTTTAAGAACTAGATTAAGAGGATAAAGTTTTATCTAGGTTAAATATATATAAAGATATATTACTTTAAGACCTCTAGGTAAATTATATTTCTAATAATATTAACTAATCTACTTTAGGTTTAGGTAATAAGCTTCTTAATACTTTCTTTTTATTTAAGGTTAATTTAAAAGTCAAAATGCCACTCTAGCAACGCGTAAAGTGAAGCCAAGGCCTTAAAGCAAGATAACAAAATAAGGTGTTTGTTTTCAACACAACACAATAAAAGGCGTCACACACTACGCCAAAAAACACAATAACCTTAATATATCCACGAGCATAAAGAAGATGTTTTCCCCATCCTTGGAAGGTCGAATGCCCTCTCCATCGCCACCCGGTCAAGGCGATCACCACCAAGGCTCCAACCCCAAAAGACCACATCAAAACAAGCCAGGAACCCCAACTTCCATCACAAGATGAGCCGCTGCGTAATCGTCATCAACAACGGCCAACCCGGTCACGGTCATCCGGTCTCGGTAGTCAATGACTACATAACGAGTCCTCCAACAGACATCAACAGGCTCAAGTTCAAGCATATCCCCATTTTACATTCCTTCCTGCGGCGTCATAAAATCACAAGAAAATACCTGCCGCATGTCGACAAATTGCGACCAATACAGCAAGTCAATCTCGCGATCTTCGGTTACCACGTACAGCTCCTCGGTATCGAGGAAAATACGTCCCTCATCGAATACATCGCAGGCTAGATGGAGGTGTTGGAAGACCTAGCCGATCGCTTGGAAAGGGGTCAAGGCATATCGAGGCAACAGCAGGCCTTCATCAACAGCATCGCATCGGGCGGCGGCAACGGTCCATACTGGGCGTGGTTCATGGAGTTGAAATGCGCGGTCGAGTTGGTTGAATTGACGGTGTAAATGCTCTATCGTGAGAATCGAGGGCTTCCGCGAGGTGAAGGAGGGGAAGTGAGGGGGAAAAGAGGGGGGACAAGGCAAATTGAGAAAAGAAGGTTTTGGCGTTTGGGGAAAAACTATGAATGTTAGCGGCCCGAGGATGGCTCGGCGGGTTAGTAATAGATTGGATCAGATCGTGTTACGACCCCCGCGGTTACGTCACGTGTACCCCACAATTTCATCCAACAACTCACCAATCATGTAACAAGCCATGCGGGACGACCGTGCCCCCTTGGGACAGCGTCCTAACACCCAGACTACTAGTATATAGAACACACTCATTAGCACTTTCATAGACTTAGCTCACCAGCTATCAATAAGACTTCTTTACATCAATAAGCCTAACACGCATTACTTGATCATTAAGAGACGTGACACCCAACTCGCTCAGTATTAACGCCCTACGCCATCTGCAAACATAAACCTAGTACGGACTAGTTTCCTGTTTGAAACCCCATTCGTCACAATTAACTTAATGTTATTATTGTTACGACCCAACACATTCTGACGCACGTGAGAATGGGTGCCCGACTCTTTCTTCCAATCATTAGCTACCTACCCTGTAACAAGTCGAACGCACGCCATTCGACTTACATGACAAGGAGGACGGACAGAGTCGAACCGACCGGGTTCGAGCTGCATATACCTCAGTATATATACACATTCATTTAGCAGTAGATAGAACTTAGCTCACCAGCTATCAATAAGGCATCTTTACTTCAATAAGCCTAACACGCATTATTTGATCATTAAGAGACGTGGCACTTCGCATCGCTCAGCATCACGCCCTACGTTATCTGCAGACATAAACTTAGTACGGACTAGTTTACCTGTTTGGAAACCCAACCGTCACAATTATAATTAGCTGCTTTAATTATAGCCTAAACCTAGCTATATATAACCTAGTTAAAGAGTTTTACTCTTTATCTTAATAACTTTAATAATTAAAATAAATATTAGAAATTTAAATTTATTTTAATATAGGGTATACTTTAAGGGCTTAATATATTAGCCTTAATCTTCTTCTTATAACCTATTTTAAATGTCTTTTATTAACCCCTATAAATAATGTATCTAAATTATCTATTATTAATAAGTAATTTACTTTAACTTCTTATACCTTTTAATTATAAGTATTAATAGTATTAATATAGTTAATGAGTAAGCTAACTAGATAAGCAAGCTAACTATAAGTCCCTTATTTTATATTATTCCTAACTAATAAGATGCTTCGTGACTACTTAATATATTATAACCTTTAAGTAAGGCTAGAACTCTACTTACTCTCTAAGCCTTCTAAAATAACTTAAAATTATATTTCTAATATAGTATAATTATATATAAGGTTAAATATAGTACCATTTATAATAAGTAAAATAGTATATAATTATAAAGTTGTTACGATTCGTGCCCGTAACAGCGCTGTAAGGCTTCTATAAGGCAGCTGTAGCACACCCATGATTGCTTGCATAGCGATTATGGCCCGATCTTTTGCCCTGTGGTTTAACGACTTGGGCAACCGTTACACCTGTGGCGTAGTTGTTAGGTGCAACCGTTACACATAGAACGAGAGCCAAGTTACCTTTCAAGTTCTCGAAATATTCAAATGTGATTCTTTAGTCATGAGATGTTGTTTGTCATACATCATCCATCTCTAATCTTTGCAATGACCTCTCGCATAACAAGATAATGTTAGCTAGATTCGTTGTCAGTTTTCAGAAAACCTCGGTCACTTTGGTGATATCATTTCTGGACCTATTAAGCAACCCCATTGTTGCTGAACCTTTTCTATACAAAACCAACGTTGGATAACCTTACAAGTCTACTCAAATGAATATTAATAAGTAGCGTCTGGCAATATGTGTCCTATAGAAGGAAGTTCCAACCACCCTGGTCTAGATATCGTCTATGTTGCTACGAACTCACCTTAGTTCGCAGAGAGAAGCCCGATGTTATCGCCTATAGTGATCCTTGATGTCTGATATCGTCTAAGAAAGAGCCTTCTTGTGCCTTCCTAGCAAATCGCGTGATAGCATGGAGGATGGATGAGTCGTAGCCTAAGACCTTGGAGGTATAACAATGTGACTTCCGGCACCGCAGGCTTCGTCCGTTCACGCTTCGTAGCAGAGCAATTTCCGGCCTTACATGCTCCTAATGTGAAGTTATCTGAATAGTAAAGATCTGGTTTGGCGGGTCCGAGTCAAGGTTGTTTTCTGACGTTAAGCTTCTCTGCTGGAACGGTATACACAGTCGGGAGTTTCTCGCTAAGGCTGGAGCTGTGCAGTGTCCACTATATGGATAGCTCACAGGAAATTGAAAATGTAATGAAATACAGTAAGCCCAATGTGGCCTGGATAGACTAAAATAGATATAAAATCGCACAAACTATCTATCGTCTATCCCATCTGTGTTTCCCGTGGCTCTGGCATGTCGAGAAACTAAATTACACGAGACGGTAGGGCAGCGTGATGCTAGTATGGAGAAGGGCGAGAGTTAAAGGACGCGTAAGAAGACGCCGGTCGGCAAATGTCGTCGTTGAGAGATGATGTTGAGTCGGGAGGCGTATGCGAGGTCAGCGGGATGCCCGGATGCCCATTTGCAAGTCCACGGTTCCGTCGCTTCTGTTCTGCAGGTCGTAAACCCATGACTGAACTTTCCGTGAAAAGGATGCCTTGTAAGAACACAAGGCTCGGGTATTTTCCACTGGCTGAAAGCCCAGCTAGAACCATGGAGATGATTATCACAGCTAAGCCAGCCCAGAAATGGTGAACGGCCGTTCGTCTAGGTATGCTGTGCCTTTGAGTCCCACAAGAAGTACGATACATTATCGCTATTGTTACGACTTGGGATGTCAGCGGAGGCAAGACACACGCAATTTCGCTGTGAACCTTGACTTGAGGAACGAATATCAAGGCCACTACGATGATAACCTCAATACACTCAAAGGCAACAGCAAACATCGCCCAGATATCCAGATCGAAGCCATTCCAGATAGGAAATATAACCGCCAGGACCTGCAAGGATATCTTAGAGCAAGCGCATGACGGGTAGCAGACTCTTCACTTACTTGTAATGTTCCAATCCCCCATAGTGATAGCGTGATCAAGATCGCGTACATAGCACCCTGAGGAGACCAGGAATCCTTGACCACTCCACTCATCTGAAGAGAAAAAAGAATCAAGGCCAGCAGCTCTAGTATTATCCATACTATAGCCAAGGCCACCAAACACGTATTTTTTGACCAAGCGGCGTCGAACTTGAGGTATATGAAGAGAAGGAAGAAAGACAAAGAGAGTATGGATAGGAGATAGCTATCAACGATTTGATATTGGTGCATGTTGTCTATGTTTGTTTCAAAGAAGTCGATGGTAGAGTATTCGTAGGCTGCACTCAGGGTGGTTGAAGCGTCATGATGAGCGACTGGAAGTGGAAGCCGGGCCTTATTTAAGCCTGTCACCCATCAGATCCATGGTCTCTTTATTGGCGATTGAAGTTGGCATGGTTGCTCAACACTGGGTCTCGCTTATGACTGGGGATTATACAAAACTACCTCAAGTCCGCCAGCCGGTCTTTAGCGCTTTACAAAGGATCTGTGGAACAGTTCCGAGACCCCACGAATTTGTGGATTTGGTAAAGCCCCTGACGCATGGCAAAACTACGATAAGAACTCAATCACGCTAATTAGTTCCCGCCAACGGTGTTGGTCGAAGTGGCGTCAGGGAACTCCTGACTTGGATCATTCAGATAGCCTACTTCCCGATATTTGACAATTTGCCACCCAAGTTCATGGCCGTTCCCATGACTGCCTGAGGGAATCATAGTTCTACTCTCTGTGAACACGATATAAAGTCACCAGAATCATAATGAGTAGTTTTGTTCTACAACATGAATCAAATTGCTGGATTTTAATTACGTTTCTTCTCGTCGGTACTTGTCTACTGTCTGACGAAAATAGATGTCTCATCCACCTTCTGCCCCATTCGCTGTGTAGTCTTGCACGACGCGGATCTAAGCAGCATGTTAGCTCCTGATGCAATTGAACATCGCAAAGACAAACCTACCCTCGTAAGGACGACAATGCGTTCAGGTTCTTTCTTTTCAGCCTTTCCCTCACCCGATACCATATTCTACATAGGTTTTTGGGCGCGTGTCCAGGGAACATCTCACAGAGTTTGGCCAACTCATATGGCGATGTCCGATTCTCGCGCAAGCACGCCTCTATGCGTTGTTCCATCTCTTCGAAAAGACCTCGTGAGCCTAGTCATGACAACACAGACGCCATCGAGCCAGTGAGGCAGGATGAAAACAATGAAGAAAGACAGCCAACGACTCAGCGAGATGGACCTTCGTCTGGTGGAGGGGGTCTCAACGAATTCATTACCTGCCATGACATGATGGCTATTATGGAACCAAGTGTCCATGTAGCTGCAGCTGGAGAAGATGGTAACCTATCTCGCAAAGATGATCCGGCCAACGAGAAGAATGTCTAAGACAGGCTTTCTACTGAAGCAGTGTTGGGATCTACTACGGCATGACTAAGATAGTTTTGTTTATTTAATGTAAATTTCTGGTCTCTCCATTCAGAAGGACAGCGAATCCCCCTCCTGTAAAAACACCAAGATGATGCTCGTTCGTACGGTTTGTCGGACCTTGACAATTATCAAAGCCGTTCGGCCAGGCAGATTTAAAGCTGAAAAGGCATATTCACCGTCTATATTTGTGCGCACAGATTTGATTTGATTTGATTTGATTATCCTACGCGGTTGTCGTCGTTTAAACAGTTGTGCGCACAAGGTCGTCTGATGTTTTTCTCTAATGTAATCAAACTTTTAACCTGATTTGGTTTCAGCTAGCTTCATCTCACTTTACTTCACTTCATTTCACTTCATTTCATCGAACTTCATCTCAGTCGAGGTCGATTATCCCTTGATAGATTGGTGGCTAGGAATGTGCCCCACTTTCCCTTCTCGCAGTATTATCCTTGCATCTAGAAAGTGAGGGGGGATGAATCAACCCCTGATCAAGAAAAAGAATCAAGTCTAGAACCAATGACTCACCACATTCTGGGCCGCACTTGGATACACTCACCCTATCGCATTTGTGCGTATCTTCCATCCATTTGCCCCATAAAATAACTACGGGTCGCTTCACCATTAATATTTTTACCTCACTTCACTTCACTTCACTTCACTTCACTTCACTTCACTTCACTTCACTTCACTTCACTTCACTTCACCTCACCTCACCTCACGTCATTTCCTCTCATCTCCCATGTTTCTTCCTCCCGCCTTAGTCATCGTCAGTTTCAATACGCGTTACCTAATTTCACCAAGTCTTAATTTGTTTCATTTCATTCAGATTACCCCAATATCAAATCACTAGCGGCATTAGGCACGAATTTTGCCGAATACGCCGCTACCCGAATGGCCTAAGGTTGCCCTAAGAAGCTTAGCAACAATACCTCCTCGACTCTTCTCGCCGCCCTCAGGTCCGAATTGCAACACACTCAAACAGTCGTTTGTAATATTGCTTTTCTCTTGATTAATAACCGATATGGTGCAGCACATATCAGAGACCGTCGCCAAAGACGAGGGAAGGCTCAAACAAGAGGTCCAGAGACTGGTAGGCTCGCATATTCCATCTTCAAGGCTACGTTTTTAACTGTCAATTAGTTTGATGATCAAACGAAGCTCCTAGATGAAACACAAGGGACTGGAAGTTACTATGTGCCGGGCGTACATTATACAGTTTGCGGGGTGTTTGTCATTGTTCAGAGCGGTTATGGAGCTGTGAGGGTACTCGGCAAGGATCAAACTCTGCATGAGAATGTGATCACAAGCCCTAACGAGAAGGAGCAATACTGTATTATCATGGTTGAACCAGGGCAAGAATGCGGGATCCTAGGAAAGCCATCTTATCGTCTCATAATCCGTTAAGAATCTTTGTTTCGTATTTGCCTCTGCATAATCTGCCGTCCAATTGCATGTACCACGTTCACAGACATTTCCATCTTTACAAACGAGTCGTTGGATCCAAGTCTAACAAACGGGAGAGGGATTCCATTGTAAGGGCACGAAATTTGGAGCTGCATCTCCCCAAAATGTTCCAGCAGAAAGCTGAATAACTCCTTGCAAGTGATTGGGATCTGGACTTCTCGTGAATCAGGCGGCGATTCCAGTACTGATGGGAGAGCATCTTTGTTGAGATCCATGAATCTCGTCAAGTCCTGAGGCTTATCCACTCCGTGCCACCATTGCGATGCAGCGGCCAGATAAGTGCTTGATTTCAGCGACGCGAGCTCAGACTGATTAAATGCCAGGGAGCATAAGAAGTAGACTTCTGGTAGATGCGTCCATAGCTCAGTCAATATAGTATGTGCTCGTTTCTTTGGGATATTTTTGACGATATCCGACGCATCTTGTGCTATTAGAAGCTTGGATCGCTTGAGGCGGTCGATCTGCTTGGTGGTCAAAGGGAAGCACCCAACAGAAAACTCTTGGAGCTTCTCCTGGAGTCCGGCGATGAATTTATTGTCGTCAAGGGCCATGCTGACGAACCCGACAAGGGTCTTTGTGACGATAAGGCGGTGTGCGTGAGATGAGATGAAGGTAAGTGATCTAAGATAAAGTGAAGTGAAGTGAAATGAAGTGAAATGAAGTGATATTTTAGAGAGCGAGATTTTTTAAGCGATAATCTTTTTGTGATGACGTGGCCCGAGAGCGTTGGCCAGCTTTTCACTGGACAAGCCCCGCTCAAGCCCTTCAATTCTTGACCCCGTCGTCCAAGTCGTCAAAAGCGAAACTCCCACCAATAGGATACACCCATTAGAATACCACATTGCTCGCCGTATAAGCCTGACAGACAGCATCTGGGAGTGTACCTCATTAGTCAAGTGGGGGCCAAGGCTGTTAGATACCCACGAATACGACGGGGTGAATGTATCCTAGTGTGGACCAGAATGTGGTGATGTTATTGATCGTCGACTTGATTTTCTGATCAGTCTGTCAGGGGGGCGGGGTTCGAATCCCCTTCATTTTTGGATACAAGAATAATATGGTGATAAAGGGAAGTGTCGCAGGGTAGGCATGATCTTCATGGCCACAGAAACAACTGCGTTAGTAAGCAAGCTTTATACTTTAAGTAATTATGCGGAATGGTATTCCATGCACGAAAAAAAAAGAGAAAAAAGAAAAGAAAACAATCAATCAACTCACTACTGCTGCTCACTATTAATAGCCTGACCTTTTATCTTTTAAGCACACTACGTACGACACACCATAACCAATCAGTTTGTTCAACAACTTGCGTCGGTTGGCGAACCACACAACTTGGCCGGTGTGGGCTTGATTGCAAAAACATCCAGTCTGATGCAGGGCACCGAATCAGCTCGAGGGGGAAGACTGGGACAATGGCCCGTTGGGACAAAGCGGTGGTTGCTAACTAAGCTAAGCACGTTAATTCAGCTGTGGCTGGCTTAAACAACTGTTTTACTTTTGGCTACCGGAATGTTGACCCGTCCATTAGTATGCAGCCGAATGCGCCATAGCGGGTCCGGGACGACAGAACAGGCAGATCATTTGCGGGGAACAGACAGCCGAGCAAGTAATTTAGCCCCTGATGAACGGACTCCCGGCTTGCCGTCCTGCATACGGTAGGCTCCTTGATCAGCAGTAAGGTAAGGCTATCCACAAATACTAAAGTCTTCGTCTTTAGAATGCAGCTTGGAAACCTCTTTCAAGTTACTGTCTGCAACGAAGCTTTTGCTTCCTCTTTCTGCAATGGCTGAGACCACAAGCAACAAGGGGGGCCTAACAGCCCCGCCAAACAGCCCAATCCAGGGCGCCACTACTCCTCCAAGTTGCGACGAAATTCAGTCATGCTCACTCATGGGTCCTATCCCTAAGACCCGGATGAGAGAACAATTAGAAGATGAGCCACCACAGTCAAGCTCTTCCTCTCGAGCTCCTTCTCCCTGTCAGCCAGTCACTCTTAGGGGCAATAGCATTGTCCTCTCACGCGCGAACTACGGCCGTCGAGGGGACGACGAAATTATACACGCGTCTGCCACTCCCTCGCTCAAAGACAATGTGTCTCCGAACAACAGTCCTCCTCTGAATCACTTGCTGATTCGACTCAACCAAAATGCATTGCTGGCCTGTGGAATTTTCAATCACTCGAGGCCCTCGAACCCGTTTGCCCACTGGGATGTGCAATGCCTCAATCAATATGGCGTCGAAGTCTACACATGGCATCTCCTTGCCTTTACCGAATTGTCGACCAGTAAACAGCGCAAACGGTACAAGAGTAACGCTCAATCGCTCGAACTACGCCTTCGTGACCTCCAAGCGCATCTTCAACTGCGTGATTATGCTGTTCTTGAAGCAGAGTTTTCGGATCGGCAGACCCTTGACGGTATGACGATGTAGGCAATGCTATGCCAACTGCAGCGTTCTTAAGAAGCCGCACTATCAGACTTTGCGCACTTGCCGAGTGAAGGCTATGACGATGCTGTTGCGATTTTCCTCACTAAGTGTCTTGCTCGATTGCGATTTACGGCTTCCCTGGCAGCTCTTCAAGCAGACCCTGCGAGAGTCATGGCAACCATTTATTGGAAGTTTGAGAGAACTCTTCAGTCGGATGGTTTATCTTCTAACTTGCCTTCACCTTGCATCACAGATCAGGCAGATTTCTCTGAGGAGTATCATTGCAAAAGTTGGTTGGCAGATGTAAGTGATGACAGTGATGATGACAATATTGGTTGGCGGTCTGCTTAATGGCGATGTTCGTGGCAGTGGCAGATATATTCTGCGTCAGTAGGCAATTGGACGAAGATGGCAATGACCATCGTCGATTTTCGGCCTATGTTTCCAATTCATGTTACTGAGCATAGGAAATCGTGTTGGTGGAAGGATAGGGAAGCGAAGGTATCTAAAAGTCGTTATAGAAGCGCGGATAGGAAGTGGTTTGAATTGATCTTGAGAATAATACATCGTGAAATTCTTCTGGCAAATCCTGACCACCGCTAAAGTCTAGGGACGTACCTTGCTCACCTGAGAGCCTGAACTCTGGTAAACTGCAAATTTGGGTACTGCACGGCAAGGACTGTGCCCCTCGTCATCCACACCATTCGCCTGGTCGATCCTTTGCCCTTTAACTGCTATCAAAACTGTTACATATCCAACAAGATGTTAAGGTCATGTATGCTTCCGTCAGTAAATAAAAGATAGTCATGTGCTGTATGTGCCGTATTGCGTTAAACCGCCCCGTTAAATCCCCGTAGTTGGTTTGTAAGTGGACCGCAAAGTCTGCAATCACCTCCTTCAGGTTCAAGATGCCTTATTGTTCCGATATGACTCTGGCAGGGCCAATCACACGTCGTGCTTCCTTGGTCGCGGCCCGATCCCTCTTAGATGGGATGTAACGCGACTCTCGATTCTCCTCCTTGTCGCCTAGCCGCCACCACAGTTTTTCTATTTTCTATTTTTTTTATCTTTATTTTTTATACTTAGGCTCTTTTGTCACTCTATGCGGACCGAGCACGGCTCAATTTTCAGTGGATTATTATCCGGCTTTCACTCGCAGTATAGTCTTTTCCCTGGCAGATACGACCTCTACATCTGCAAGCATGTGGGATTGGATGGAGAACATCTGGACCTTGTATATTTGTTGGTCCAACACTCCGTCCAACACTCCGGCGGGGCGTCTGCTGAGATGAGAGAGAACAACGTAATTCAGCTCAGACGTAATTGGTCCCCGCTCAAGCTTGGCAACAAGGGGGTTAAGGTATTAAAAGCTGGCCGACTCGCCGCCTTTTTGTGAGGGGAATGCTGACTGCAATGCTCTGTTCAGTCTACAACCCGGCTCGTTGATAAACGAACCAACACACGCGTATAAAGACAATTCAGGTTCAACACAATGGCAGCAACCAACGGAGATGTTATCGTAGCTCCCGATGATAATGTTCAATCCCAACTACAAACAATACAAGCATGAGCTAACCTTGAGTCTAGGATGTTGCCGATCAAGACTCCTCTTTTGGAAGTGTATGGGTAGCCTCTTGCTCGTTGTCTTTTAAAAAGACGTCAGATAACTGACATAAGCCCTGGCCATAGGAAACGGCGTCGTCAACCACAAGCCTGAGAAGCTCCATTCTTGACTACCGACGCGAAAACGGGAGAACGTATCATCGATTCAAGGATGGAAGTGGGTTAACCTTCCTTATCCTACAGACATTTCCTACTAATACATACCAACTCTAGAGTACAACCTTCCCACGACGAGCGAGAGAATGAAAGGCTAGGTAAACTTACGCAGCTCACCCGCCGTTTAATTTTGATGCTAAAATTGTTTAGACCTGCAGCACCATTTGTTTCTCCGAACCTTCGACAACAAACTTGGTCTCGCCCCACCAAACCTGCCCGGTTCCAACGTCGAACGAGTTCTCGACGTGGGCACTGGAACAGGTATTTGGGCAATTGGCTTTGCGGATGATCATCCTGAGGCCAAGGTAAAGGAAGCATCCCAGAGCTTAAGATGCTCATAGCTGACATCATTTATAGGTTCTCGGGATCGACCTTTCTCCCATTCAGCCTAGCTTGTACTGTATGAGCTACTCTTTGGGAGCCAAATAGTGACTGACGGTTAACTAGTGTCCCTGCCAATGTGGAGTTCCAGATCGACGATATTGACGAGGAGTGGAATTATTCTGCGCCGTTTACTTACATTCACAGCAGAATGATGAACATGAGCATTCAGAACTGGGAGGATTATCTACGCAAAATCTTTGAGTAAGTTTCACTTGAGGCCCTGTATTGCCTATAGGTTAACCCTGACTGGGCTAGTAATCTTGCTCCAGGCGGCTACGTCGAACTCCAAGATATTGATGCTTTCATGAAGTCTGACGACGGTACGCTTACCGAAGCACATGCACTATCGAAATGGTGTAAGCTTCTACGTGAAGCAGCGGTCAAATTTGGTCGCCCGTACATACCAACCAAGGAATTGAGGAACATCATGGACAAAGTTGGATTCACCAACATCGTTGAAACTCGTTTCAAGTGGCCGTCAAACTGCTGGCCCAAGGACAAAGAATACAAGGACCTCGGAGCATGGAACAATGAGAACACGAACCTTGTTCTTGAATCAATCAGTTTAGCACCATTAACGAGGGGCCTTGATTGGACTATCGAGGAAGTCAATGTTCTTTTAGTTGATGTGAGAAAAGAGTTGAATGATCCAAACATTCATGCCTACTGGCCAATGTACGCAGCCCGCCTTTGACTTCGAGTCTACATGCTAATATATCATTAGTTGCTCAGTTTATGGAAGGAAACCAGAAGTTTGAGGAAGGGTATGCGAGCAATGCAGTAGCTGCGGAATGCTATGGTTGTGTGAATAACTTTGATCCCGGGTCGTGACGCAGTCAGCCACGACCATCAACTACGTAGAGGTAAATCGGCAGCAAGCAATCGAACCTAGCATCGAGTCCGACTGAGCATCTTTGTACTGCACGCATGAATAGCATGCAGTGTCTGTATTATGTTACTCCCATAATCTTTCGGGCCCGTCCACGCATCTCGTAGGTCCATCAGCATCTAGAATACCGCTCTGGCCTTGCTTGCCCTCCTACGGCTTATCGTATGAAAATAGTCACCGCTGTGCTTTGTAAACCTTCTGATCTGTAAGCTCTTTTCCCTATTTACACATGTGCTCATGACGCAGTCTTTCGTAAATTTACAATATCCAGGTCCACGTCATCTAACAAAGGATTAGAAGAGGTTAACGTTGTCCTCACTGATCGTGAGATTGTCGATCGACCTGTCTCTTGGATGGAGCCTGTCTTGTGCAAAGGCTAGGTGTGCTCGATGAAGCACTCAAAAGCGGCAAGCAGAGCCCATCGAGAGCTGCCTTGTAGACAAACCTTTCTATAGCCTAGAGTATGACATGTTGATGAGCCCTGTTTGGTAGTGCATGGGTGTTAGCCTTTGCTGGGGACGTGGATTTGTTGTTTATATTGCGTAGTAGCGCTTGGTGAAAGTATTGGTTATTAAACTTGATTATATGTTATTGAGATTAGACTCCTTCTCCGTGTTAAACCTCTAGATGATTCCATCTAGCCCTTTGAACTCTAAATCTAGGGCTTTCAGACAGTTAGCCTGAATCCTGAAGGGAATGGAAGGAGGATTCCGGGATGCTGCAGCAGCATTAGGATTGCTTAGTAAGAGTGTATTGGGCGCCAGTTGGCTAGATGAGCACTTCTTACTGGTGGCAGTGCTACTACATCCTTCCGGGAATGCCTCAAATGCGATATTCTCCCGCGGTATTGGCCGTTGCGACGGTTGTTCGTGGACCTCGTTATGCCCGTCCCCTGTTGAAAGTTGTTCCAAACGTCGGCATCCATGTAGCTGAAGTCCCTCCAAGACACCACATGTAACGTCTCGTCTTCCTCATCGCGTTTCGGGTATGCCGATGACCACTTCATAAGAAACGCATCTCCGGACATACTGCGAGGTGGGTTTTGCTACAAGTCGTCGCCCAGCCAGCATTCAAGCAACTGCTGTATCACCTCGTCAATGACGATCTCCTACGTAATGCCGTTCCGCTTGATCTTGAGGAAGCTCTTATAGTATGGCGTTAGGTTGATTAGGGGCTCCACGTTCCACTTCGTTCGTTTACGAAAAGCTGAGGATCGTGGACACAAATTGCAGTCCATCCTCTTCAACCTTGGACTGCTGGTATTTGCGACTAGTGACACCAAGAATCGTTCCTAATATTAGTGCCACTTATAGGTGACGCCTAAGGAGCGCTGCCCGTGTCTGGATCTCGAATGCCTGTGCTTGGGTGCGCGGATACGCAGCACGATAAAAAGAATATTGACCAGTGTCTATATGTTGTTTCCCTGCCTGTTACCGTCGCTCACCTTTCGTTCCTTTTCTATCCTTGGCAAATTTCATCTGTCCCCGGTCAGAGCTTCATTTGGCATCTTTGCCTGTATTTGGACTTGCGCCAAGAAACACCAGCGCTCTGCAAGCATGTGGAACGTCGCGCGTGGCGCAGCCTACCCACCTGCTTCTCAACCGGCATAGGCTCCGGTATCATCTTTGATTTCGGATACCACTCTCTCCTAGCCTCCAAGCCCGTAAATGTCTTAGCTAAGGCTATCTAAAAGATCGTCGCCGGGTAAGGCCGAATTTGACTGCCACATGCTTGAAGATACCGTTTGCCAGGTGGCCACGAGTTTGTTGATGCTGAACAACGGAGCTTCATGCAGTATGTGGAGTGCGGGCTGCCTAAAGACAAGTTTTAGACGATGCTGCGGTGTGTCTGGGATGTTATTGTTGGAGACATGGACGCCAAGATGTGGAAGCCGATTTAACTTGCCTTGAGCATGTAACAATAATGTCTTGTGGTGGAGTATATAGAACTCTACTTGGATTGATCTAGCCCAGTTCCATGCATTGGCACCGTGCACCCAGACCTGACCAATCTGGTCTTGTCCCCGCGTGTAGTGCGGCAGGGACAAGCACTTGGATTGCAGGACACTAAACCTGTTGATGCTCGCGTTATCTGGGCTCGAATATTTGCTTCCTGCCGCCCGGCCTTTCACCTCATCCCTTGCCTAGTTGACATGGTGAGCATCACCGGCCGTAGAGGGTCACTATCTGAGTACAATTTGCGGCCGACTTTATGCCACGCATCCGAATCACATTCCCACAATAAGCTATCCGCCATCCCTTACGCGTCCTTCTCTAGAGTGGGCATGAGCTGGCAAAACGGGATAGGAGGGCTTGAATATTCATGATTCGCCAACTGCTTGGACAGACTTTGCCGACTTAACCCATACAAGTATAGGCGTGGGTCGGTAAATGGAGAAAGTCGTCGATGCTCACTGCAACTCAGCACATCGATCGTATGCAAAAGACTGAGGTTTTGTAGAGTTGTCACCCAATTACACAGGATCCAGCGTTTCTTGACTAGGCATACAAAATGGATAATCGCGGGTGTCTTCGTCTTCGTTGAGGCGCCATTGTGAAGTTGGCAACTGCCGCTGCGGCTGCAGTTTGAGTTCTACCTCGGGACTTCGATGAAACTCAATAGGGACCAGTGACGCGCTCTGAAATACATCATAAGCGGCAAAGGTTGAGGCAGTAGCCTTATGTGTTAGCGATGGCTCCTCACCGCTGCTGTGGTTTGTAACTCACCAAAAGCCCATGGTCGGTGGACGACGAAAGCAAGAAGACGAAGGCCGCCAATGTCAGTACAATACGTGCCATAAGATACCCCTTCTCCATCAGGCCAGGTTTTCCTTCTGACATAGGCTGGTTCTTCTCTGCAACCACGCTTATCCATTCCCAGATAAAATAAAGATGGCACCCGCTGGCCGACACCTTCGCAAGTACGAGGCCGTGGCTTGAGATTGCAAGCAGCTGGAATATAACCCCGAGCTGGAGCAAAACCCAAGCAATACCAAAACCCGACCAAATGTGCCAGGGGTTGAAGATGCGCATACTCGGTTGCCAAGCGAAGGTCGATATCATGGCCTGGATGCGCTGTTAGCCATAGGTCTTGGTCTTTTGATTACAGTTGGCATACCTCATGAAACAAATTAGTAGATATGATCCAAGTGGCTAGTACCGTGGTGTAAGGCTCGCCACGAACGAACGTTAAAGCTGTAAGGGCTGACGTCGTTGCGGATGTAGTGGACACGAATAGGAATATCCGCCAAAAATACCGCTTAGGGTGTCGTTCCCTGTAACACGAGAACGCGCTCGGTGCTTTGGGCTTGCATATCTTGTTCAGCCGCCAGTAGATAAGCCGCGCCAAAGAGATCAGACATGAAGTATAGGTAAGAATGAGAGTGACCAAGAGAGAGATACTAGGTGACGACCAGGACATTTTTGCAGCCTAATGAAGAAAGACACTGACAAGTAGATGAGAAAGATGTCTTGTCTGCCTCATCTGCAGAGTACTGTTGCAGGTCAGTAGAGCATTTATATGTCGGCCAAGACCGTGGTCTCGAGGATTAAGAGGGAGACAATCCCAGTCAGTCGGCCTCTCATTGAACAGAACAAAGTCTTCAGGGAGCGGAGCGATCCTCGTTGGTCAGTAATCACAACCCGCTTAACTAGTGTTCCATGATCCATGTCCTACGAGCTTCAAGTTCCGGCAGCCGTTCCGTCCCCTGCACTGACCCTCTCACCCTCCTTTCTTCGCTTAGGGGTTTCTGCATCATCCTTTCCGTGTGGAAGACGAGGTTGCTAATATTTTATTATGTTGACTTTGTTTTAGGCGACAGTATAGCTCAGTTGTTTTGCGCGTTTGGTACCCCAGCCTCTGTTGAAGAGTGAAGATTGAAGTTTTCGTACCGTGAGGATACTGCGCGTAGAATTCTCTGCGTGCACAGTAAGGACGGCGAACTACTACACCTAACGGGTCACATCTTTGCTATATCGCGTAGCGCTAATGATCTACCAGGGTCCAAGAGAAGCGCGCACCTCAACGACTGTTTCCTCCAACGAATCAAAGATTATATTCGTTTGTGGAGGATCCCGCCTCAGCCGACACCTGACCCAACACCCCCTCCGTTCATTAACGTTACTGCTGTCTCTTTTGGCGCGGTTGTTCCACTGGCACAATTGTCCCATCGAGGCTGGATTTCCACTTATCGCCTGACGCGACTCTGTTCCCTCACTAACTTGACAACCCAAAAGTTAGACATCCATGCGAGGTTGCACGGTATTATTCCCATCTTTCTTAATTATATCGGGTGGATGTTGCCCTCCACACCTCAGCCGCACCAGATATCTGCCAATGTTTCCAAGATTTTAGGGAAACGAATGCAATTCAGTTCGAGTAATAATAGCCATAGCCGCATTCATCACTAATGTTCCTGCATGGGCCTATCGTCGTGATCCCAATCGCCCGATTCGTAAGAAACTCCGCCATCCTGGATATTGAGTCGCCGGCTCGCAAATTCTATAAATTGCAGCGCCCCAGCGTCGTCTTTTAACACTCTCTGTTGCTTCTACCATTTAATTTGTAACTATGACGACCTTGACCGTATTGGGAACAGCTCAGTTTATGTACTCCAATATGGGTGTCAGCTACGCTAACTACTTCTCTTCTATGGTATCTGATTTCAACATGCGTAATATATATGGAGTTGAAGGTTCCGGTTGCTCGATAACTATTCCAAGTATCGAGACGTTACTGAAAAGCTTGTCCCAGATTTTCGGATTCCTGTGGAAGCCGGCGCGATAATATCAGGAAGTTTTCGAAGAAGGTCAATGTCGCACTCCCATGCAAGTACACTTGGCTGTTCTGCGATGGCTCATCACGAAGAGAAGCCAGCGTGCTAGCATATCCTAGGACATCCATGGCCAGATTGAAGGGGTACCTCTTATGGATCAAAGTATCCACCTCGCAGCAATGCGCATGTGGACAAACGAGAATAACAGTCGAGCATTCTCTTTTCCAATGCATAACATGGTCGACGCACAGATCTGGAATGCTGCAGTGCTCTGAGACACTGAGGCGATACCTTTTCTTCTACCTGGGAGGAAAATAACTATCAAATGACGCGAAATGGATGCTAAATATGTAAGCGTTCTACGCAGCCATACGATTTGCGATAGCTACAGCTCAACTCGACAGACGATATCGAGGCCAGATTGTAAAAGTATACCTAATCACCCTTAATAACCATTCACCTTATACCAAACACCCCGTGCCGTGAATGCGGATAACATTTCCGTCGCCGTAGATAGGACATTAGGCACTTGCAGAATCGTCTTCAAGCTAGTCCGGTGGCAACGCTACTAGATCACGGGAAAACAGAGGGGGCAACGGAGCAGGAAGAAAAGCGCAATCGAGGACCAGATTCAGTATGAGCTCCAATACATGGATTTCAATCTGAATGATGCAAGGTACGGCGTGGGCTTAAGGAGATGAGGACAAAAAATAAGGCAATGTATGTGTATGCAAGCATTAGTGGCTAGGGCCCTATCGGCCAAAATAAGACGCTGGGCGTAATAAATCGTTTTGTATTGTATCGATTCTAAACTCATTTAACAACAGCTATTCCTCGAGAATCCGAGAGGCATTGCTTTCAGCCGCCCAACATAGGAAACTGAACACTTGGAGGAACTGGACTTCAAGTCGACTTGCTACTGCTAACGCGAGGACCAGGAAGAGTGATGACTAGACTGGAAGAAACAAGGCGAGAATGGTGAGCTCGGCGAGAGCAAGGCGATGACTAGCGAAATGTATGTATCTTTAGCTTCAGAGCCCTTTGGGCGTTGGCCCACTGGGTGTAATAGATTAGTGTCTATATGTGTGTGTGTGTGTGTGTGAGTGTGTGTGTGTGTCAACTCGAAAAAATTGAAGAGCTTCTAGAGGCGGTTCCTGGTTTTCTTGCCGTCCAAATATATCTTCGTCGGTTGTCAGTGACTGGCCGTCTGCCGCAGGTATAGTAAGGCTTACATTCTGCAATATGCATGGTAGCTCCGCATACATATCTCTTTGTTAACTCTATTGCAAAGATCTTCCACCTCTTCTTTGGACATGCCAAGCATTCTTACCATAGGTGCGCACGATAGAGCTGTGAGACCGCTAGAGAGCCCCATATTGAACCATCTCGCTGCCTCTTTCTCCGTGGCGTCCTCGGGCCAAGGATTGTAACACGCTCTGATGACTGTTTCACTGATGTCTACGAAGCCAGCCACTGCAAGTTGCTGTCGCGTTTCCTCGGGGTTTACTCTCATTGGGCGGCCGTACTGGTCCATTGCGTCGAGAAGTTTTGAGGCCCATTGACTTAGAGCACTGTCGGTCGGAAGAGAATCGTCGTCACACTGTGGGGCCCAGTCGATTTCAACTTGCTCCATGTAGCCGCACCCAGGCTTCAGATGCCTTACTAAGGGGTTAGCAAGGTTAGCGAGCAGGGACTAATGGCGGATGCAACCAACACGAGCATGTTTTTGTACAGATCTCGCCAGTTTTGAATACTGCCGAAGAGTGTTCGGACATGCATGAAGTCCCAGTCCAGGTCAACGGTCTCCCAGGAACCCTCAAGGTCGAATGGTTTCGGAGGTGTCATAGTCCGTGGAATCCTTCGCGATATGAGTCAGCGAAACTGATATCTCTTGTTTGCACTTACATCTTAGGCTGTATCATATTGAAGTCAAGACCCTGTACGTGCATATGGGGATATTTTCTATAGCAGTTTGTAAGATTGAGGGCCAAGTTGTCTACATCTTGATGGACTCACTCAGAGAGTTCTATGGCCCAGATTCCCGTGCCTGTGCCGAGGTCGAGGACCCGCAATGGCTGCTCCACGTCCAACAAAGCCGAGAACAGATTGTTCTTGCGAACTACGAAGAAGAACTTGTGCAAAATGTCTAGGCGAGCCAGCTCTTCCTTTACGCGAACGAGGTTAGTGTTATCGAAGGCAAGATGGGGGTACTTGCACTAACTTTGTCGATTGGGAATATGTACTTCTCCCTGGGTAGATTACCATTCTTTCCGTACCAGCGACCATAATACAAGTAAAAGTCTTGGAGTTTTCGCGACGCTCGGTAGTCGGCCAGATCGCTACGACAGGATGTCAGTACAAGAGGATGGATTGTGTTGTAGGCCATGTGGTGCAGATATCTCAATTATAGGGAAGAGTTTGAGCAGTACCTGGTGTTTTTATGGCTACCTGGCATACTGAGAGAGTGCAATTCTCTCTGGTGGACTTGCAACAGGCTCATGTCAGCGTTATTTTGAAGAACAATCTACGCCCGGAGGTGCGGAGACATTTAGTCCACATCCACTTCGAGTCATGTGAATTGGGTTCCACAAATGGCTAGCCCGCTTCAGCCAGCAAAGGTGGAGAAAGTGGACGGAGAGTTGGGTAACAAAACATCGTTATTTGGCACCAGCACTGCCCTCAAATAGAAAATAAAGTTAGATCCGGAGTCATATTTGAGATATTTGGCAACCCTCAATGCTAGATTTGTTGTTTAAAATATTTCTTCAAGTATTTCAGATATTTCGAATCGTACTCTCTATGCTCTTCATGGTAGTATGCCCAATACTCCCCTAGACCTCGTTCTCCAACTTGCTGTCGCCCCCAGCTTCACCGCACCATGTCTGACCCAATTCCCCAGGCATAAGAGCTTCTACAGGCGTTCACCAAAATCAACTTTGGTGGCCCCACAAGGAGTGGTTTCTAGAGGCTTTGCCAATGATCGCTACTCGCAAGGGCAGGGCAGTGTTGTTAATGTTGATCGTTTCGCCCCGTCCCATTACCGTGATTGGCAACCATTGCAAAGCCATCCAGAGCATCTCAGCTTACCTTCCGATTATGGGATGAGCCATAGTGTACAGACTCCTCCAGATAGCAACTACTGCCATAGTCCGCTCTTCTGAATCCAGAACCGTCAGACGAATCAGAAGCATACGATAGAGGAGGGTGGCTTCACCATCTACACTTTTCTCGACAAGAAGAGATGGGAGCGCATACTCTAAGATTCACCGCGCAAACGCAATATACCCCGCATAAAGAATACGTCTCAACCACTCAACGCTGAGGGTCATGCACTTGTCTCCATTGACGTTTCAAGCGGCTAGATGGGCATCGGTAAGCACGTTCTACTTTATAGGAACACTGAGGATCACCCTGACCTGCCGACAGGAGCTTTCTGCTACCAAACTCATAGAATTGGCACTCCCAATGCTGAAGTTGACGCAAAAATATTCTCGCATACCCAGTATTACAAAATTCTTAAAGCCCCAGCCCCTGGACAGTCTCGGGAAATACCTGCTTTTCCTTTCGTCGAACATTGTGTCGACGTGTATTTCCAGCAATGGGCTCGTCTTCCCTAATTCTACATGAACCCACGTTTCTCGATGCCACCAACAGGCTGTCGAGCGTCTTTGGAGCTTACCCGGAACCTGGTGGATCAGGTCTAGTGAGTGGATATGGCCAATCAGAGTCACGATACAGACCTTACGTTAGTTTGCTACCCCCGACAATGACTTCGGATCGACTAAAGGGAAGGTAGCTTCTTAACCCTCATGATCCTGGCCCCACCACACCAAGCCGCGTTAGTGCTAGTCTGTTTACCTCGATGCGTGCGATTCCTTGCCGATCGACGCCTAACCCGATGGAATCCAACGACATTATGCTTCTTCTCCACCCTCCGCCTTTGCTCCTCTCCGCCCACCGAGAAATCTGGCAAGTCAATTCGAGCTGACGACGCGGGTGGCTTCACCAGACCACCCTACCGTTGCAGATCTTCCGCGAGTAGCATGAAGGAACAAATGATATGTTTTAGACGAGTCCTTGTCCCGGCAAGGCTCGAAGGGCCGAAAGAGCTGGATCAAGCGCCATGGAATTTTTCTCGTTGAGATTGACACTAACGACAGCCCGTTGATTCCTTACGGGGCCAATCATTTGTGCGACGCGAAGGGGGTCAGCCCGAGTTCTTCGCCGCTGCTGGTACGAGTTCGGCAGCTGACCACCCCCTCTAGTATGTGAATGTGACGTTGAGCACCATTGACCAACGTAGGTTCCACAGGATCTTCGAGAGCATTCACGGCGCTGGTACAGACCCGTCAACCAATGGATGTGAACGGTCCAAGTGACGGCTCTTGCAGTACAGCGCCGCTTGCTAGAGTCAAGGTGATCTGAGAACTGAGCCTGGGACTTCTGACCAACACCAATGTTCTTTTTCTTTCTTTAACCATACATTCTTTCAGCAACTCGCGTGCCAACTCGACCCCCACCTACCTGACCAGTTCCCAAGGATATCTCCTGGCGAGTGAGTTTACAGCAGAGCTAGAAGTCGTTATGAACAACGACACGAGATGGAACTCCACTTATCTCATGATCTCTCGGGCGTTCCTCAAGCAAGGAGACATCGGGGCGTCCTTAGTCCATCCAGAGGTGGCGAAATGGCTACTAGAGGCCGACATGTTGAAAGGGGAATGACTGGAGACTTTTGGCAGAAACCAAACATATTATTGAGCCATTCTACCTGCAAACTATGGCAACGCAGGGCTTGGCAGCGAAGGAGGTAATGGGCATGGACGGCTTTGGGAGGCGGCGACAGGCACGAAATACTTGCTGGAACATCTTGAGGATCGGAAGTTGTTCTACCATGCTGTTCCAGACGAGGCAACCGAAGAGAATACCGACTCGCAGGTCGAGCTAGCTCGAAGACGACCAGACCGAAACCGGCAGATTCCTGCTAGGTTTAGGGATTACGAGATCGACATCCATCCGCGAAAGTCAATGCAAAGCTTCTTACCAGGTCATGGTTCGGGACAATGTGATGATGGATCAGGCAAGATCATCGGAAGTTGACGACATGAAGAAGGATCTCCGACGCTATCTGAGACTCCCTATCATCACCGCCTGGCAGAAACACAATGAATACTATACCACTCTTAGAGAGTCGCCGTTGTTTGCCGCATCCACCATTCTCCATCCATAACTGGGCAAGAGCTATCTGGAGGTGAATCGGGCATTGGAAGAACAGCTTGTCTGGGCGAGGGACGTCAAAGATGGACTAACTGACTACCTGGACCGCTGATACCGCTGCAACCGGTCGGTAGATGAGCAGCGAGGGGCAATTGTTGATACTACGGCATCCCCAAGAGTGCCGCAGAGAACCCGGGTGAACAGTATGGTCAAGCAGTGGGTGAAGAGCAGGACAGCGAAGACTACGGCAACGAGAAGTGAGCATGAGAGGTATCTGCGGCTAGGGCCGCAAGAGATTGAGGATCCAATCGAGTGGTGGATGGCTCATCAGGGACAATTTCCGATGACCAGCCAGTTAGCTCTCGGTATACTCGCGATACCGGCGATGGCAAGCAATTGCGAGAGGTCGTTCAGCCTCGCCCAAGTTAACGGCGACGTCGCAAAGGGCTTTCGATGACGACAGAGACATTGGAGAGGTGTGATGATGGCGGAAGACTCGCGATGGCACGTCTGATTGGTAAGGCAGAAGGATTCAGTTCGTCGGTTGTCCAGAGGTTTTCGGGGCTAGGACCAATTTCTCAATCCGTATTATTAGATTACCCAGATTTTGCCATGTAAATATCACAGACGATCAATATCAACTGCAGATCTCCAAAGATTCAACTGACAAATGAAGTTTGAATGAATCATGTACGTGGAACTGCGACTTTCTCCGTCCGAGTCCCTTTGCACGACAGTGTAGCACTTCTCAGGAAGTGAACTCACCTCAAGATCTGAAGAACGTCCCATACGGTCTACCGACGACGAGAAAACTAAGCAATACAGTTCAATATAAACTCTGGTACCTTGTTCTCATTCGGCTCAGGGGTGTTTTCTTATCGCGAGATATCAGAAGCGGTGAGTCGAGTCCGCGACGATCGGTGAAAATGATGATAGGGGTCAAAATGGACCTCGCCAAGCTCTGTCGTTTCTGGCCGTCTGTTGGACGTACGGACGGGAACCGCCAATATCCATTTTGAGGACGTGCAAATATCCAAATGTAGAACGCCATGATTCTAAAAAAAAAAAAAAAAAGATTACTTGAGCCGCAAACGCATGCATATGATCGACCGATACTGGATGGCATTCTTAGTTACTCGAGACCAATGGCTAGTGAAAGACCGCCTAGGACTTTCAGCCCCAATAACTTGCATCATTGTCCTTGTTGATCGGATCTAACCCTTTCCACAAGATACTCGCCGTGCTCCAAGCTTTTGCGATCCTTAAGCCCGTGAGTCCGCCATGAATCCAGCTGCCGACCAGGACCTTCTGCTGTATTCAGCCCTTCCCAATGATTCAGATTGTAAGAACGAATGCCCCTTGCCACAATTTATCCAAGAAGAAGGAGGCTTCTTCCAAAATCCATCGCTCAGTCATTCCCTTCCATCTGCATCGCAGCCTGGGATTCTTCAAGATAGCTGGCACCCGACCTCAGCTCAGGCTGATCACTCCTTCGATGGATGGTTCGAAAGAGATTGGGTGTTGTTTCCAGATACGCCAGATGCAGTTGAGCAACCTGACGATATAACGGAGATCTCAGTTGTCCTCAGCAGTTACGGTTCATTAGAAGAGGCCCAGTTTAGAGTAGATCGGCACGTGCAGCGGACATTGGGGCAAAGGCATCTCGTGGCCCAGAGTGGCAAGAACAAGCGCCCAGCAAATGCATTCATCCTCTATCGTATAGCCTTTCAATGCGTGGCTGAAGAGTTCTATAGCACCAAATGTCAACAGCTTGTATCAAGAATATGTGGGAAGAGCTGGCAACTCGAATCGGACGATGTAAAAGCGTGGTTTCAAGAACAGGCCACGATCCAGAAGGCGAACTATAGGCGGGCTTTTGAGCATGGGTGAAGGAGAGGCTTGAAACTTAAATGTATTTTAACAGTTTTCCTTCTTCTGAGCTTCTCTGGTGGAGAGTGATATGGCCTTTTCGAAGGGGGAGAAAAAGGCAAATATTTGCACCAGAACCGAAAGCTACAGTGCCCTTGGAGGAAAATTGTATCCAGAAACATGGAAAGCAACTCAACAAAGCGCGGACACTATACAACAAGCGCCTCACAGAAATGCAAATATATCTAACATGAAGAGTGAATTGTCTTTTGGACCACTTTGCTTACATATGTGCGTTGCTCGCCCACTTATGGAATTCCTCGATTACTAGTTAGAGGTTTTGAGATTCTTCGGACTCGCGTCTAAATGCATGATAAAATCGCGAGAGGGTATGCCATAATTCTTTAGGTGATGCGGCAAGGACAAACTGTGTCGCTTCTTTCGTGAGATATGAACAGGGATGCATGTGGTACAGTTCACTGATGCCGAACAAACACTGGCAGCCAGCCTGAGAGGGCGCTACGGACATGAGTTTTCCCCTCTTGACTTGTTGTATCGGTATTCGAAAGGCTGCCATGAGCATTAGAACATTATAGCAGCTGTAGCTGGAACGGCATTCATCGATTATATCTGTACCAATCCTTCTGGTCTTTTATGTTTTACCTTTTATATTTAGAAATATAAAGAATAATGATATATCTGTAACTTAAACCGCCATAGCGCTCGTCTATAGTCCTTATTAACGTATTGTCAGACTCGGTGTATCTTGTCTGACTGTTGGTAAAGTCAAATTGGTTGAATCCTGGACCTAGAGCTTGGATGTCTATGGTTTCGAGTTATAACTTCAAGACTAACGCCATTTGACATTATATCATGTTTCCCTTTCCTGGCTATCTCGAATGCAGCCTATGCTCCCCAAAACAGTAGCCCAAAGCAAGGCAACCAAGCTCAGTGGGCCGAAAATTATCATCGGGAGAAGCGATACGAGGAAATGCCCTATTATGTTAGCGAGAATTGGACTCAGTGTCATCTAGCAGGCGCTCTTACCGAAGAACAACGGCCTTCTCGTGATTGTTTGCCAGAACTCCTCCGATGTAAGCATGTCTGCAGCACCACTCCACTGCCAGGGTCCCAGGAGACGAAACTTAGTGTTGAAGTGTGCGCCAAAAGCCCAGACAACAAGCAGACGCCACCCATCACGAACGTGTTTTTTCTGCGCAATGGCCAAGACGTCCCAGAGCCCTATTGCTGAGTTCATATCCAAAGCCAACTGATATACATAGCTTTCATGGTCGACACCGTATTCTATACGAGAATCTGGAGGAAGCTTTAAGCGGTAGTGTTCTTCATCGGTAGCTCGCAGAGGATGGGGTATCTTCTCTGGAGCTAATATATTCAGAATCCAAAGCTGAGCCTGCATTTCTGCCAGGGGCGGGATGGCGCCAAGTGATGGTCTCACAAATCCAATAAATCCGACGGTTGGCTCATCACGTCGCCAGATACCGCGGACATTGGCCTGGTTTGCCGTTCCGTAAGCTCTGGTAGGTTTTGTTCGTGAAGGCTCAAGGAACGGAAAATCTTGTTTATAGCCAGTAGAGAGAATGACGATATCTGGTTTGATTCTCTCTCCTTTCAACCGGCTGAACTCGGGCTGCTGATTATCGAAGAAATGGACAGTCCCATCCCGGCCTATCTCCTTCGGCCATGGTGCCAAGTCCACTTTTCTCCCATTGGTGTCTGGAACCGGAGTTTGCACGATGGCAGATCGCAGGGCGTATAGCCAGAGGCGTGGGCCTGGCATACCTGGACGGTACGGAAGGCTGATGTATGGACAGACTTTCATAGATTTGTTAAAGAATACTAGAGGAATGGTCAGCACTGCGGTGGGAGTACGGTCGTAGAGGTATGTTACTCTTGGACGGATGATGGCGTTCCGGACTGATCCTTCCGATCCACTGGTCCATTCCCGCTGTGGTTCCAGACGACAACCAAAGGATGAACTTGATGTACCAGTGATAGTAGTGCCATAGCACCATGGAATTGCGAAAGAGTGGGTGAACATATGTGGTATCGAACATGTTGGCCCGGCTCACATCAATTGGTATGCCTGGCTCTTTAGGGTCCGGTTTCCTCCCAAGAATTGGAAACAACACGGGACCCGGATTTCTCTGATCGTATTGTCAATAGACAGGACAAAGGAGGAGCATTTGAGAAACGTGATACATCACGGAGTGCTACAGTACATACCTTTGGAGCGAAATGCAAGCCATCTCTATGGCAGAGTAAGACTCTTTTGGTAGGCGACGTTGCCGCTAGATATGCGATATCTGCCCCAGTCTCTCCACTTCCAACTACCATGACGGTTTTGTCGGTCCCGAACTGCTTTCTTGATTTGAAGCCGGAAGAATGAAAAGCCAACGGAACATTTTCCATTCCCTTTATGTTGGGGATGTTGGGTGTCACATGCAAACCTGAACAAATAGCGACCGCATCGCATCTCCATTCACATGGAAACCGGGCCTCGTTTGTTTTGTACGTGATGATGTGGCTCCCACGACTCCTCGGGTGACAGATAAAACTCGTGTGTTGAGTCGCATATGAGGCCACAATTTGAAATGCGTGCAGTAAGCTTGAAGATACTGCACATACTGCTCAGTGCTGAGAAAGTCACCATGCTCGGAATGTCTGAAGTCGGAGAAAGTGGTGAGTTGTTTGGAGGACACGAGCTGCAGTGAGTATCAGTGGTTTGGTTCATAGTCTCTCGACTGCTCTAGCCACTCACCTCGGCGTCTTCGTATGATCGTGCAGCAAATGTACCTCCAACTTGCGTTTGATATTCAAATAGAATTGCTTCGACAGGCTCGCAGGATATGCTCGCAGAAGCCTGGATTAGGTACTTCAAGGTGACAAGCCCTGACGGACCTCCCCCAATCACCGCCACTCTCATAGCCAAAAGGCCAATGCTCAATCTCGTCGATTTTCCTTCTGTATGAGAGCCGGATCACAGAACCGCTTCCTCAGGCAGCACTTTACTGATTGCGATAAGCATAGTGCATTGATCGTGCGAGTAATGAACATAATTAATACTCTATCCAAGTGTGGATCACGAAGAGCTGAACACGAAAGGCGGACGACTCTATTTGGCCTTTCAACGCTGAGCGCGCGTCGATTGGACGGGCGAACCTTCGAGGATCCTGTACCACAGTATTGGCCGCAGGCCAGGCCTGGAACCTGTTCCCAGAGCGTTCTAATGGCTGTTTCTCGACGAATTTTGTTCACAGGCAAGCATGTGGCCAGCTTTTTGCCAAAACTAAAACGTTTTGAGAAGCATCCAATTAGATCAAGATTTGGCAAATGGTGTTAACTGCGGTTGAAAAGGTCAATCCTCGCTCATTATGTGTGGCAAAGCCGATGCAAGCGATTCAATCCTTTATGAGATCATCTCAGCATAGACATATTGTAGACTACGCTGCCAAACTCAAAAAAGGATCAATGGAAAGAAAATTCGCAAATGGCATGCAACAGTCGCTTGCTTACCCTAGAGCCCTTCGGGCTATTGGCCAGCCAGATGGCTTCTAAACATAATCTGACAATGCTGGGCAAAGAGGGGTAAGATTAAGAACCTACTTTCGCTTTGGCAGGTCTGACGAGAGTACCTCTCTAACAGGTAGCATCAGTGAAGACTCTAGTATAACAGGAACTACATATGGAGTACTTGCGCACCACGGCCGCTGAGGGTGTACGAAGGTGTTGTGATAAAAGACCGATGAATCGTCATTACCCGGGACGCCAACATCAGTTCCGCTAAGGGCGGTTCTTGCGCTTGAACACACTCATTAATGTTGTCCTCGATTTCCCATTAAACATGAAACAGCCGAGTACGGTTGAACATATTTCTTACAGGTACTAAACGAATTTATGCTTGAGCATGGGTAACTTAGTCTATGAATACTCGCTACGGAGTATCAATAATTACGTTTGTGTTTCCAAATAGGTATCCGGCTTGTTTGGAATGGCTATTGATTGTTCTGAAGGAATGCTTTCCGAGACTTTGGTCGCCGTAAACCTCCTGAGCCTTTCCCGTGTTCGTGTGTTCTCACCCACATTAATACTATGATTTATTGATGAAGGACGTGATGCCACATGAGGCCCGTTGCCCAAAGGTCTAGAGTAGAAATTTCTGGGTACAAATTTGTGCTTCGGGAGTATGTTGTTGAAGAGGAAGCTTCAAGTGCTCAATAATGTATTGTTACATCAATCTGATTTATGATCCCCATTCCAGATCATTCTTTTGTTCCGATCCTCAAACAATGATAAGAGAGTAAAAGAACAAGACGTAAATGAACCTCGGCAAAGCCATCATGGATAAACTGCCAAGTGAGGTGCGATGACGAATCTTTTGCTCGTCCTCTTACAGCTGTGGTGCTTCCGCCTTACCCCACGAAGATATACGAGAGGAAGCTACATAAACACGAGCGAGTGTACCGCAGCCTACGACCCACCCGAGCGATCCCAGTAGTACAGAAGAGTTCACGACGGTCGACCCAATAACACCTGCTCCGAGAATGAGGATGGTAGTATATTTCATCTTCAGCGATCGCGCTTCGCCCCCGCATCGCGTGAAGTACAGTAGAAGAAGGAATCTAATTGGTGTTAGCATATATGGTTTTCAGTGTGTTGACAATATACAGTATGTACAATATGGCTCGAGTAAGGATCCATGCGATACTATAACGCCAAACCCACCATGTCAGGACACGTTCAAAGAAGCCATGCTTTGGGTGTCTGAATCCGGTGGTGGAGGGCCAAAGGTACGCCAACAGCGGCTTGAGCCCTACCAAGGACACTTTCCCCATGAGTGGCCAACCAGGACTGAAATCACACCATCGCGTTCGAGCGCTGAAAACTAGGCTCGTTATGTTGGCCAAATCTATAGGGCTGCGAGAAGAAAGCGCATATGTGTCGACAAGCGAGGCCGCACTCGCAGATAACCGGCTCGATAGATCGACCAACCCATAGATTACTGAAAAGAAATTGTTCCTTTCGGGCAGCGAAGAGCTAGCTTCCTTATCATGAGTATTCGCTTCAGGCATTGATAAATACGGCTATTCACACAGAAGATATTAATAGTTCCGGGAACCTGAACGTGACAAGGCTATACAACCAGTGGGTATTTATGTCAACTTCCAGCCAATATAGGGCGTACGCTTTTTGGAAGGCATTGCGGGCAGAAACCGCCGAGTGCGAAGGCCTGTTTCTTCAGTCTTTTCATAATGTCGATATTGGAGACAATTTTCACCAGCTTCTTGAGGAATGGTTTGACAATTGTTTCGACCTTTTCTGTAATATGGACTCTAATGGACGGCCGTAATTATTTCGATGGTGGTTATATATCGACTTTGCAAACACACTTTGTTGACCTGTTGCCTGCGTCTCTGAAACTTGGATTCTGTGTCTTCATTACAAAATTTTCATTTCAGCAACCTCTTCAAACGGTGGTGACTCCAACCTAGATACAACCACAACGTCCTGAAATGGCGAAGCCCCAAGCAAGTCTGGTGACTATACGATGTTTTCTCTGTGCCATTCTCATAGAGATAATGTCTACAGACGACCTGCCTGCGGTCCGGATAGGAGAGGGGCTCTACTATTGCAAGAGATGTAGTATTAGCACTGGATACTCTCAGGAAGTTCTGGGACAAAGAGGAATATCCCCCGAGCAGAAAACCAGGGGTCGAACGTAGAAGAAAAGTCAATAACAATATCCAACTATCGAGACATGAAAGTCGCTGTGTCCATGTAAATAAAACCGACTTCTTTAGAGAAGCTTTGATCATATAGAAGGTTCAAGGTGTCTTTCAGATCATCCTTATCGGCTGTTCTTCAACCTTCTTCAAAGAAAAGCCCAGATATCGGACTATGGATATGACTCAACTCATCTGACTACCAAGTATTGGTTTATTATCAGTCTGCTATTACACTACGTTATGTTGCGCTGGTGGGAGGCATCCACAACCTGTAGTATTTGTGGTTCTACAAGCTGGCGTGCAAGGTCAATGATGGTTACGTGTCGGCAAATATCTCACTTTTAAACAAATGCTGGTTGATCAAGAGGTCCTGTATAGATAGTTGTGTTCTCTGAGAAGTTTTACTGTGATTTCTTCCCTTTATTCTGTCCTTTTTCTTCTTTGTCCATCAAGAACTTAGGTTACAAATTCGATCGGACGATTCCACTAGGTCCTGAAGAACACAGTTACATAATTTTGGCTAGGAAACCTGTATACAAGAAACAGCTATTTCAATCCTCAGCTTCTACGATAGAATGACCATCTCTCACCCCTCACGGAATTTAGGGCAGTTGAACTTAGTTGGCGTCGTGGATAAATTTCCTCTTTTTCCCCACACCGCTGTATAATTGCCAATCATTCTTTTCGAAATCTTTGAACTGGTTTCGGAGGCTCGTGACGGTGGTCTCGAGCTCTCCTTTCTCGTTCTCCAACCGCCATACATTGCCATATAAGTCGCCAATGTGGAAACGCTGTGTTTCGATTGTAGAATCTCTCTCTCGCAATAATTCTTCACGTCGCTGGACCTCTAATTTGAGGATATGTATCTGGATTCTTTGTTCTTCAAGTTTCTTTTCAGCATGAGATGCTTTGGAGAAGGAAAAATCTTCTTTCGGTGAACCAGATTGTCCAAAAGCCTCTTGAACCAGCGCTCCAGGATGTTCTACCAGTTGAGGGTCCACCAAGGGCAAGTAATCGCCAAAGGTACATGAAGATTCTGTGGTATTGAGGGTTGCCATCGCGTTCCCCTAGCTTACACTACCTTGGTGACGGTGGTGCGTAGAGCTTGCTAGATTTAGCTACGAGAAGGTTACGCTATATATTGGCTCCTGCGGCAGAAAAAGGCCGCCGTGCGTCTGAGCGAGTTTAGGACTAGTCAGTCGTTCGAAGGGAACAGAGATAAGTTGTGGTCTGTCTCGTCTGTCGAAAAGCAAATGGTAAGTTCAAAAAGGCAGCTGTTTACTGCCCCTTTCGTTCTTGTGTCTGGAAACAAGCCGTTTCTTGATACTTATGGGATTGTCGCCTGTCTCGGTAATACAAAGGCGCGGTCAGTATCAGATGTGTAAGGTAGTGACTAGTGATTGCTTGGTTCAGTGCTCGATCCTATAGCCAAACCGATTCGATTGCTTTGGACCCAACGACGAAGCAGCTGGACTAAGCGTTCTTTGAATTCGGCGCATACTGATTAATTTTCATATAGTACGTCCAGTGAGATATATCAGTCGGCTGATCTTTAGCAAAACATACGCCGAACAATACGTGTATTCAGTTCATTGACGCAGATTTTTGTATTCAGGTTGTGTTCTATTAAACCTCTGGCACTTGGTAGATTTACTATTTCCGTGTGCAATCTTAGAAGACGCCTTGCATGTGACACCCCGTCACATGCTTACTGCATCAACGAATATAGGAAGCTGGTAATATGAAACCTGCCAATGATGCTTTACTCATTAATTCACATGGTAACACATATCCTTCCAAGAATCTTCCAGAAACCTACTTCTCCTCAATTAATGCAGTCTGGCAGCTATCTCAGAACATATCATTTTCTACCAATACTTGCAATAAAGTGCAGGTTCGGCGTCAATAACTTGACTAACCAGAGACATTCATTGCGTACAGACAATCCAGACGGAGGTCACTTGAGTAGCCACCTTCAGTCTAAACTCGAGCACTTCCAAAATCAACCTACTAACGCTTAATACGCACCAAAGGATATACCTAATAAGAATGAGGCCTTGTCAGTTGCTACTCCATACTGATTGAAAAGGTAGCCTTGACTCGTTAGGCCCCTAGAAATTTCTCCAGCACTACGCAAACTAAGTGAGAAGCAGATGAAACTAGCGCGACGATAGACACCCAAAACGCCGTACCGGAATGGAAAGAAGCTTTCGGGAGCTCTGCCAACCCACGACCAGAAAACCAGATAATAATAACCAATGTCATGAAGCAGGTGAAAATGCCACACATGCATATACTTAGAATGATGCATATGAGGTTCTTCAAAGGCAATCCATTACTTGCTATTGGCAAGATCATGACCACAGCATTTACGACAGCATAAGCGCATGATATAGCGAAGCAAACGAGTCCAGCAATGAATAAGCTTTTTAGTGAAGGGAGGCGGTGCAGTTGGTTCACCAGAGAGCCAGCTTCATTGGACAAATTGGAGATGATGTTAAAGGTCTTGTCGTCCCCCAACGGGAAGCTCACACAGTCAGAGTGGCCGTCGCCGTATTCCACACATCCGGTTGTGGTCCCAACGGCTAAGGCCTCTGGAACAAGCTTATTCAAAAGGGTTTCTCCCGCCGCGATTGCACTAGTGACTTTACTTTGGATATCTTGAACGACATGTGTGGCTTGAGCGACAGCAACAGTCGCTTGTTTTGCAACGCCGTCGGCCCCTTTAACAACTTCTGTGGCCTGAGAAGGTATATTCTCCGTGGGGATGGATAGACCTCGATGAAGGAGATTTCGTCCTAACTAAACGTAACGAAACATCAGCCGAGAACAATTTTAATGATTGGGCCGTCCAGTACCTCAACTTTGAAGATGCCTTCCTTCTCGTTCTTGCTATCATTGAGAAATGTCGTACCAACTGCAATTAGAACTATGGCAAGGGTGATGTGAGCCGCAAGTGAGAAACACGCTTTTAGCCTTTTCAGCATAATGAATTACCAGATAATTGAGCTGTGCCCAGACATTTGACATAAGACGGGCGGTCGATGTAAATAATTAAAGAATAACAAGCGGCCATTCAACGCCGCTTGGTTACTTCAACCAAACGAGCTCGCTCAACAGTCATAATCGACCAGTTTGGCCTACTATTAGCCTTCGTACAGGGAAACAACAGCCAAATTATGACCGCATTGGCAAAAGACCAAACTTATAATAATAGAGAAATGCAAGCGACCTTCTGTCATTCGAGTAGCGTGGTCCTCTCGGTCATCATAAGCAACAGCGAATATGCCCTCAGCCGACGCATCTTTGGTACTCCGTAATACAGATGTACAGTCTACTATCTCAAACTGTCTCAGGTAAACGCTGGATGAAGCTGACATCGGTGAATCAGGTCGCGTCGCCATATTATTGCTATCTTTTGCCAGACACGACACCTCAGCCTACACCCTCGCCGCTTGGCCAGTCGATAAGCACTGTGACACCTGCAGTCAATGTGCCGATGGTGCCTGGGGCTGATCTAAAGAGCATTACGACAATGTGGCCGACAGGAGCCCCATCGCACGCTCAAATCAACACACCAGCTACTTTGCTCAGTAGCAATCTTTCGAGAACTATCTGGACGCCTCCCGAAATGGCTACTGAAACCCCAACTGGGATTTCTTCGGCAGGCGCGAAAGTAAAAACATCTGGTGTTATGCTGTGGCTGACTTTTCTGAGTGCCATGGCTGTACGGTCGCTGTGAAACTCGAAGGGCTACTCGAAGCTACGGTATACTTTATACCTAGTATCACCTTTAGGTCCTGAGATAACCATCAGGCATTCGACGAGGCTTTGTTGTCGTAGTTGTATTAGTTAAAGAAACATTGCATGCATTTTGGGCTAGCCTTGTCCTCCCTATGATTTTGTGAGCCCATCATCCAAACTCTTGACCTTCTTGGTGCCAGGACTCATTGGGATATGTGTGACATACACTTACCATTCGGTCTTTCCCGGCCTCCTTCTGAAGGGAAAATGAAGCACCAAAGTTTGAGACTTTACAGAGAGGCATTACAAAGTGTCTTTCCCGAGAGTCTCACTATCTATGTTGCCCTATACTAGTTCCTACTTTGATGTCTCAAGGATTCTTGGCGCCGATACGAGTCAGCATGGATCATAATTTAGATGCAATGATATATCTCCAACTAGTGGGTGAGTTGAGGCATTCTTTGACTCGGCCCAACATGCTCAGTGCCTCCATCCAATGAAGAAAGTGCGTCATCGTAAACTCACATGCCTCGCAGCTATCATCCGGTTCGGAGACGACTTGGTCTGGTGATGGATCCAGTACATGCAAGCTTACTGAAGCCCTGGAGGTATGTGCTTCTCGAGCTGCCCAACGCCTACTGCCGATCGGCGCACGCCTGGGAAAGACAGAACCCATATGTTCTTATGCAGAGCAAGGTGCATTATACACAAGCAGTCTTTCGCCAGCCTTCGATGACTGACTTTCTCGCTCATTCAGACCTCGGCAGTCTCTTTGTTTTCTGGACAGATAAGCTAGTCCTGGATGATAAAGGGAGGAGACAGACCGGTTTGAGTCGAGACTTTCCGGAACCACCAAGACAGAATTCAGCATACATAGCGTAGTCATCACCTTGCTTATATGAACATCAAGAAGTTGTGCTAGAACGCGCTTTGACAAGGGACTAGTTAGTGTGACGATAGTGCTAAGGATGAGACGAAAGCTCTCGACAATACTACATCTCTCGCATCCTATTTTATTGACGACTTGTGGCTTCAGAACTGGTGAGTAGGTCATGTCAAGCTTCGAGGCTTAACCGGTATCTATGACGTGGAGTACACATGTCTCGGCAGCCCTGATGAGCTTCTGCAGAGAGTTGTTGACCAATCGGCGATGAGTCATGGCGAAAACGAAGAGTGGCACCGCCGATCTTGTAAGCTACTAGAAGTTGGGTCCTCTAGACCAGTGCACGAGCAGTTTCAGCTCTTCTACTGCCTCGTTGAAACAGTTGCAGGTGTTGACAAATTCACGTGGAAAAAATGCATATAGTACAGTACAATATAAAATAATTTATTACGGCCGGTGGCTTATTTTGATCAGGTACAGTATAGTACCTATCAAGTTCAGTGTCCCTGATGCACCAACTGTAGGTTTAAGAGCGGGCCTTACACCCGAATATCATGTCTAAAATTGAGCTAGCAGATTCCTCACCAACGGTCAACTTCGCGAACCGTCGTATCCAATTGCCATGCTGCTGCCGGTCCGGATTATTCGCTATATGTATGATAGCTGGCGGACAATGGCTCTCCATATGTATCTTGCGCTCTTCAGCCACTTCCCGCCCTTCCCGCTGAATGGTTATGAAACTTTGCAGTACGTTTGAGTCGCTCAGCGTCATACGATCGAGGACGTCTTGGAATACGTTTTTCGCCAAATAATAGCCCCTTCCCTGATCGCTGAGGCCTTTCTGCGCAATGAGTAGTGTGGCCTTGGCGGCTCTGGGATCTGTATCCCCCACATCCATACTAGATTCATTTGGCCCGGAGGAATCTCCTGCCCTGAGGGAATCGAGCTTATTAAGAGCAAGGAACGCGAGCATGGTGAGAAACTGGGGCAGCATCATATTGCCGTATTCGAAGCTATGGCGGAGATAGTGGATACGCAGAATAGTCTCAAAGTAGGCTCTGTATTGGGTAAGAGATTTCTGGAGCTTGTCTTGATCAAGCAGAAGTGGCGGTGAGCTGTTGTTCCCATATGATCCTAAGATTTCGTAAAGTTGGATGAGGACATAGCAGTAATGGAGGCTTTGGTTCATGTTAGTCTAATTTGTTCCCAGTAGAGCAGGGGTGTATCAACTGTCCTCTACCCCCACTCTCTTTCAAGGCGGACGAGATACTTACTGTAACTTCAGCTGCGATGGGAACACGATATTTGACGGCAACAACGGGTCTGGCAACGTCTGATACCAGGCTTCTAGCTTTTCTATTGTCTCAATAATTCTTCCTGTCCCACTTTGAACTACTTGATTGTCGTTTTCATTCGTAGAAGCCTGAAGCATGGCCGCGTTGAGAATGAGGCTAAACTCGACCCTGGCCTTGAAAGTACAACGGTACTGCATTGGCACTAATACCGAAGTTGAGGGGTACTTCAGCCAAATTTCACTATACCAGTCGGGATTGAGGTCGGGATCGGGTAATGGACTGTGGGGCGGAGTTCGTAGCAGCGGACCTGTCTGGAACTGAAGATTCAACGTACTGCATTCAGTTAGTGAAGTGTCAGAAATGTATTGGTAATGCTAGTGTTTTATACCATTGCCAATGAAACAGTGACCACGCCGTAAGATCATAAGAGTGGCGCAACTTCTTGTGCTTTTGGTATGTTGTTGGTTCGAACAACCCCAACTCATGAGCAATATCAATTGCCTGGGCTAGATATGCTGACGCCAGTGTATCCATACCGAACATGTTTACGATAGTATTAATGATGAGAGCAGCTTGTAGGGTGGTTAGGCTTCTCTCAGGGGATGCATGATCAAATCAAAACAGCCCCAGGTGCCTGGAAGCGATACTGTGATGGCCTAGAAAACCTAGGCCATGTAAGCATTACAGTAGCCGCAACACGAAAGCACAAGCGTTAATCTATTACAGGTCCAGAACGTCCTCGAAGAAATGGTTCAAAGTACGCCTCGCATGGCGATTCCCATAATTCAAGTCCACTTGGAAGGAATAATCTCATCCATTCTAGAGTCGACAATAGAAGCTGCGTGAACCGGCCTTAAATACTGGGCTTTGCACTTTTCTTCAGATTCCCGTAGTGGCGGGACACTGGCAGTGCCAGCGTGATCATTCTCATTCCGCTCATGAATCAAGGTGTGTATGAAAGGGTTCGTTGAAGTTTGTAAGTATGAGGACATCGAAGGTGAGTAAAGAAACTGATAGCGACATCTGGTTTCGGGTTCCAGTTGAACTTGTAGAAGGAAATCGGCTGTGCTGAGTTGATGCGCGACAGTCTCAGCATCAGAACCAGCTCGAATACGACGAATAAGCTCGTGGACTTCGGCCTCTGGTAGAGTCTGTATAGCGCGATAGATAACAGCAGCAGGATGCGATACTTGAAGCGCTTCTAGCTTCTCTCTATAAATACCCCCAGGTGTTCTCCGGTAAATACAATCAGTATGCTTTATTCGGCACTGAGAACACATCGGCCGAGCACCGTTACAGTATGCCAACCATTCAGCCCACGTTTAACAGACCGTCAAGAGAAGGGTTACATCCCGAGGTTAGTGTGCGTACCTTGGATTTCCGTTGCCGACACGACTCACAAGCTAAAGATATAGGAATTCTTCGTTCTAAGGGAGCTATTCGATGCCCAACATGGGTCCTTACCGGATGACGGTGCGGAGCCGGAAGTAAAAGTCGGAGATTAGTCCCCTGACTTGATTCGCGTAATGATGAGGTCGAGGGATCCGAGATATTAAAAGATCCGTTTGGAATCATACTTGACATTCTTAGCAACGGGTGCGGCATTGAAATAGATGAAAGGCTACGGCCTCCAGCTTTTTAACCGAAACGATAACCTAGCCTCCTAGTCAGACCTCGACGAAGCTTACGGATAAAGTCAATGCGTAATTACCAATTACTCGTTGGTTCATGTTCAGATAAAGCCGCCCATTGCAGCAGCCGTTCCCTCAACAAGAATGATGTCATGGTGGTGAAAGGATGATCTTTTGCGCACGTTTTTACGCCATTGACGGGAAAAATCAGAGTGACATAGTTTATCGGCCTCAACCAGTGAGTCCATAACGTAACCTTTGTTTTCTTGATTTGTTTGTGAGCCAATCACAGTCGATGAAGACCTCAGCTGACTGATGGGTCAGGTTCGGACTGGGAAAAACCACGCAGAGAGCACTAACATGGGACCCTATCAATATTGATGTCAGGTTGATGTAATGAAACACCTTACCCAGTCCCTATGACACGAGCATGACATGCTTTCACTATCGCTCTTTCTCGCCCTCCTCCATAATGAAATACGGACCAATGGATTCCATCTTTCGAACTCATGTTATATGATGGCCCTATGAAGCAAAGCGTTGATCACTATAATGCCCCTGTTTTGGTAGCGACTTTATTTCTTAATTCCAGTCCGAATCCCATTCCTAATCAGAGGTAGTCGCAAGAACGATTTCTTACATTGTTCTACGTCCCTGGTGCCCTGCCTGTACGCAACCTGTAGCATCCCTCCCTTCGACTGCGAGTTTAACTAAGAGATTAGCTACCAGCAAAATCGACCCAAATCTATCTGTATACCGGCCCGAAGAGAAAGTTATATCGAGTGAGCAAGCACCCATAATGACCAACGAGGAGCGCGACATTAGCCGGCTAGCACGACTGGATACTTATGGGGGGCAATATTCCAAGAACTCGGCACTGAATGCTGAGCGATCCCGACTAGAGGCGGAAATAGCCCATCTAAGCTACCTACTCGTAGCTCACAGGGACTGTTGCGGCACTTCGCAGGGGTGCACTCACTCCATGCACCTAGGGTCGCCTCAGAATACACCCGGTAAGCGAGGCGTCTTCCCGTTAAGACTGCAAAACTTACTCATTTGCCAGACTTGCAATGTAGCCAAAAATACAAAAACTTCGAAGGGTACTGATTCTACCGGTAAAAGTCGGATGAACCATCATGTGAACTCAGTAAGCCATTGCAGCCCGAGGCTATTTCCCCTTGGCGCAGTATGCAATTGTTGAATAGCTTATTTCGGTAGGCAGCTGGCGATGTCGCGCCTGCTGCGATTAGCGGGCTACCCAACGCATCTGCGACGCGCTGGACCCCATTTCAATGGTGCCGGACGGCTTTCATGACGGAGATGGGAAGTTATGGATTGTAGGAGAAGTCACCTCGCTGATACCGTCACTTCGAACGACTTCATAGTCAAGATGGTGCCCCGCTGGTTTGAGAAAGTCGAATCCAAGGTCAAAAGGCTGTTGCAAGTCGCTCCATAAGAATCCGCCTCGGCCCCTTCACCGTCATCACTTCGCCGACACCATTAATTGCGTGTCACGAGGAGCGGCATAGGCAGGCTGAGACGGCGATAGTATCCCCGCCTTTGGTAGTCGCTGCTAATTTAATCCCCGAATCGGGCAATCGGATTTACTGTTATTTCGGTAGCGAGATTTTGCACAATGTAAGCCAGCCCCATGACGTAAATGGTGAGGCCATTATCAAGAGGGGTGATGGCCCCTCCACTACGTGACAACCTGCTAAGATTTACTTCTGGTGACGTCATACCTCCGTCTGTTTCCTCCATCAGCTAACGAACAGACGATTTCGCGCCCAGCTCAATTGCGGCTCATTCTGCCACACCGAAACCAAGCACAAAATATCGTCCAACATCCTTGGAATTGGTCCCCAAATCAACAGAAGCTACTATAAACAAATCTTGTCAATCGTCATTCTAAATCCTTAAACAAAGAATTAAAAAGGTAGGGTACGATTCTCGTAGCTCCTCATCTCACTGCTGCGAGCTATTATGTCTAATCAACTTTCCAGGCAACTACATGATGGGTGAAGGCGGATCTACGGCAGTTGATCCCATATTAAATAAGCTGAGTGTCGACGCTTTCAATATACTACCCATTTCCCTCAATCCTTTTTGGGAGCAATGGTGTTCAATGGACCAGCGAGCCTTCCCTCAGTCGGCGGAAGAAGGCAATTTGGTGAGCGCTTACAGGCAGAGTAAATTCGTGTTCGATGATTCCCTGCCTACCTCCCCAACCAGCTCCCTGGATCACTGCAGTGATCCGTACCCTGCCGCCACCTTCACGGCTACACCCTCAGTCTTTCAGACGCCATATTCCCAAACATCCCACCAGTTAGGCATCCCGTCTCCGCCCCTAACGGCTAAAAGGGAGGAGCGTCAAAAGCGGAAGCGTTGCTCAAATAAGAATTCAGCTCGCAAATCTTTAAGACGATATTCCTCTCGAGATAGCAACGCCAATACAGCAACGAGAGAAGGAGGTGCTGGCCGTTCAAACAGATCTTGCGGTACCCACAGCCACCATGGTAGTGAGCACTCGGGCCAACAAGACAAGAACCATAGCCAACATACAAAAGAGAGGAATCGTATTGTGTCCGGCAAATTCCGAGCTAAGAAGCGAGAACATATGCTAAGAGTCCAGTCAGAGGAGCAAGAGCTGGAACGAACCAATTACGACCTGTCCATCTGCGTAGCTAACCTGACTCGTGAGGTCCAGGAGCTCAAGATGAAGCTTTTACAACATACCGATTGCGACTGCTCGCTCATCCATGACTACCTCGCCATAGAGGCCCAGCGCTACGTTTGTGGACTCAGTATGCAATCGCAGCTCAAGACTACTTCCCCCGGCGCAGCATGCAAGTAAAGCACTATAAGGAGAATAATTGTGAGAACGGGGAGACGAATAGTGATGATACCGTTATTTATGTGTTTATTTATCTTGACGTATATATGCATAAGGTTCTTGTTCCCATGGAATGCTAGTGCCGGCATGAGCACGGGAATCGTTCTGTGTCTATAGTCGCCCCTAAAAGAATTCGCTGGTCTCACGATTCCCCTATCTCCCTAGCCGCCTCGCTGTATCGTTATGTTGGAACCTTTCGGAGCGCTCCGCATGTGATGGTCCGGTTAGCTTTATAGCACTAGAGAGAGTGCGTGCAGGCTTGTGGAGAACGGCAGCGCTTCTTGTGTGCCAGAAGAATGGTTTCTAAATTGACAAGTTCCGTTTGTAGTCGGGATATCTCGACCTTTAATATTAAGTTCTGTAAATGGTGATCCTCTTGAAAACGCAGACCTGCTAGCTGGTTACTGCTAGGCTCGTCGCGGGACATGGCAGGTCTCCAGAATGTGGCCATCGTACTGGCATACATCCACTAGATTTGTTTTGACTCAGAATCAAGAAATGTAGGAGGCCTCTGCCATAGATAGCTTACAGATAGATGATGTTAACCTTGCCGCTGGCTGACTCCTACTGTACGTAGACACATCGAACAGGATGATTTTGTAAGTAACTCGTACAAGGGTCCCAAGTCCGTAAAGATGTGGGGAAGCGGCCTTTTATATCCTCGTTACTAGTAGGCTAATTAAGAGGTATTGGACTTTGAAATATCTTAGTATAACGTAAAGATGTCATAAGCTTTCCATCACAGGGCTGTCATAATGAATCATAAGAGTCACTGGGGAAGTAGCGGTTCACTCCAGATGGCGCACTCTGCTGAAAAATGGAAATTTAAATAAAATGACATCTCCAAGACTCAAATGTTCAGGATCTCACTGATGATAAGCTTTCTCATCTCTAACGACAACATTGGACTTTTGAACCTGGATCTCCTTGCTCTACCACCTGTCAACTTTAATCAATCGACTGGCGCACCTTTACACGGTGCTCGCCACTCTGCTGGGATATAAATGCCGAGGTTGTATGGGTTGTAAAAGACGGAAATAGGATGCTTTGGTTGTCTTCAGAGTATGGAGTCTTGTAATCGGTTGTGGTGGGATCAACAATTGCTCTCAGCTGTCGTTTAGCTCATGTACCGGTGATGGAGTTCTCTTAGAGAGTAGGCAGACAGGGGCTTATATTACGCCCCGGCCATATCCGAAGACTTCCGTATCCCTGGTCAGTCTGCGTGTATTATTTCTTGGGGTAGACAGCTGGGTGATCTAGAGAGCATGCATATATACCTTAGATCTATATCTGAGACCGTAGTCCCTAGCTTGATGCTCACAGTAGATTCTATTCGCTTGGCACAATAGTACTGTAGCACTCCTTGGCTCGTTAAGATACATCACACCCATCTAAAAGTCCGCTGATCCAGACGAGCATGATAGCATCAAGCTCACTCACAATCCTCGAGATTTGTACAGTAATGCGCTTGTAGGCCCGATTCGACTCGTCAAGGCCTCCTATCAGAACTGGCATAGAATCTGAATAACAGCAGCATCAATTTGTGCCATATCTATTTCGAGAAATGTTTTCGCATCCTCGGTTCCCTAAAGCCGACTTCTCACCTCGTGCCGAATTAAGCCTAGAAGACGCTCCATTTGATCTAAGGTCTCGAGAATTTCCGTACCAGATAGCGGAGCACATCGATTGATAAGAACATCAGCCATGCAAGCACGGCCTAAGGAGGCTGCCCGGATCTAAAATACTCTAGTCAGATATGTATGGAATCAAGGACGAGAGAAAGATCTATCAAGTTAAAGTTGCCCGTGATCAACTTCGGAGAGTTTTCGCAGGCTGTTCTGCCCACATAGCTTTCGGATCCTGTTGCGTTGAGCTTGTGGTGAAGGGTTGTCACGTATGACATCCTGAACAACAAGGGAACGGTCGCAGCTACGGGTCCACCAAGAACGGAGCATAAACTATAAAACTAAAAATGTAAAGCTCAAATGATGATCAAAAACCTGAAGAGCTCCTAGCAGTTTATAGGGCACGTTAACTTTAACTATGATCTCGCCAGCAGAATCGCCTTTCGTTTTATGGGAGATCTTCGCGTCGCCGAACGGGAAAGCAGAAAAAAGAAAAACAAAAAGTGACAGTAGGGTATCAAAGGTTCTGAAGGGAGGGCAGCAGGGTGGGGAAGACCAAGCTCGATGCTCAACTTAAGCCAATAGCAATCCTGTTAGGGCCCCTTGTGACAAAATGTTGACGAAGTGGGGTAGAAACTTTTGCCATGTTTCACGGATAGTTTGTTTCCGCGCCAGGGCCTCAATTGCATCTGGCCATGATCACCATTATTCAGAGAAGACGAGGCGAGATAGCAACACCGCCAAGGCATGACAGCTGGGTCAGACTGGACACTAAAGCAGGAGTTGGTATGTGAGAGTGAAAATTTCGCACCCAGCGCACCTTACCTGCCTGCCTTTAGAAAAAGCGGCGTTATTAGTGGTACGACGAGGTAAGCACCTAAACGCTGAAGGGCGAAATAGAGACTCCAGTCACCAACGAAAGTCAAGAATTGGGCACCTCTGAAGAGATGAAGGCCGGGAATTAGATAGAGTTGCAGGAAAAGCGGAATCCAGAGTACGTTTTCTGCCTTAGGCACTAGGCTTGGCTCCGCCGAAAAGCCAAAAGGCACCTTGCTGCTTGGCACTGTGTGCTTGTATCCTCGTACACATTCAACATCCCATCCCAAAATTGTCAGACATTGCGCGTATTCGGTTCATTGATGTGAATTGGTGTCTTCATGTTGTGTTCTGTTGAAATCTACCCCTTAGAGGTTTTACCATTTCGGCTGTAATCTTAAAGTATCCCTGCTTGCACGTGAGGCCCCAGCACTTGTTCAACAAAAATGGCCGTCCTAACTTGGCTTTTATCTCCATGGTGCCGATCAATTCAATCTGGGTTGTCGATTGAGTTGAAGCAGGGTGGACCGGTGTGTTCTATGGGACGTGCACGCTTGCACGGTTCACTGCTTGATCTGTTGTCCACCAGATGTGTGATTGAATTGAATTGATCGCCAGCCCGGTTATCTCCTAATATTACTTTTGCTTATACTCCCGTACCGCATTCAACGCCCAGTTTCATTAAGTACGTGTCCCACTCAGCCAAAGAAAAATCTCCAGCGCGCCTTGTCCCTTTTCCGAACTTTCTTCCGCGGACCCGGGCTCTTGGATTCCCAGGCTGAATTAGGCCGCTTAAAGCTAGATACAGTATGTAGACAAGAAGCACTGTACTCCACCAAGTTGATATGGGAGAGACGCAGTACAGTCGAAGGAGACGAGAACCCCGCTCTATATTGCTGTAGATTCCTCAGAGGCATTGTATGTACAGTAGAATGAAGACAAAGCGTGTACGGTGTTTTTCGAGGATGACTTACGGGATTCTCACGAGAATTGATGCGGGACGTTCAAATAAGTTAAACTTTTGGTATCACCAAACCAAATGTGAGAACGCCAATAGTTCATGACTAACCATGAACTCATAAGCATTGTTTCTATGAGGAATATAAGAACTATCAGCTAGTGGATGGCTAATCGTGTCAGCAATTGCATCGGAGTTGATGATATCTCATCTAATGTATCGTAATAGACAAGCCGTGGTAAGCCGGAGACTGTCGAAAGGACTTCGTTTCGACGACAAATTCACCACTGCTAAGCCAATGCCATTTTACATAAACGGCTCACAGTTTATCATTTTCAGAGTTCCTAGTGATATATTTTGTACTTTTAAGTCTTTGTCGAGTTTCGGATGCGGGAAGCCAGGATATATCTCTAATTACAAGCGCTTTGATATCGTTTATGTCCTGAAATGAAGCCGGATTGAATATGGATTGAATATGGATTAGCACTCAAAGGCCATATTTTGACAAATATCAAAGGCAATGTCTACGGCTGATAGCGGACTTTTGGGCAAACAGTAGCACCAAGTTTGTAAATACTTAAACATGGCCTAGACATTTTCACAAAGCACTTGATGAACCACCAAGAATGAGTCGCTGCCGTCATACATGCTGGCTTAAACCCTGGAGCCTGGGCGTAGAAAAGGGCTTAGAGGTCACAGACCGACCTCAACGTTTACTGAAGGAATTCGAAAATCCCGACGCCGAGAGCGCTGGCCTACTGGTGTTAATAGGAAATCAATCGAAACAGGCGGCCTTCAAGAAGCTAAGTTTTCAGACGGGCAGGATCCGAGCAAGGGTAGGAGGGGAAGTTCATTTACTTGTCTCTTCGTTGAAAGAGAATCGCCGTAAGCGTATCGTGATCGCCGATACAGATGCGTCTGGATCACAGGCCAAGTTGCCGTTGTTGAGCGCCAGTGCTTGCCACGCTGTAAAAGTCTATACTGACACGAAGCAACAAGTTCCTGAAGATGGACTCGACTACGAAAATCTCTTGCGTAGAACTCTACTTCCATCTGCTGACGTTGTATGCATATTCGTCGATGATTTAGGAGGATTTGGTGAGTCGTTGAAACGATTACGTTTCTGGCTCCAGAGTGGACCACCATCAACTAGCCCAGTGCGGCCACATATCCTGCTTGTAGTAAGGCAAGAATGGAGACAGAGGCACGAAAGTGATCTTCAGAGGTTTGTAGCAGAACACCGATCTAGAAGTCTTGATCCGAGTTTCAGTGGCATCACTCTCGTCGGAGTTCCCAGAATGTCTGGTAAAAGTAGACGGCGAAGCGGCGGACAGACGCGACGATGGCAAGTGCTCAGTTCGGAGTTATCAAAGGCATTAGAGACCAGTAGACAGGCTCGACGACGATCTGACTCCATCTTCTCGGTACACCATCTTGCTCACTTCTTACAGTATGCTGCTAGCGTAGCGTTGAGCGTAACTGCGGAACCTTTCAGCTTCGTGAAAGTTTCTCGGCTCCATCGAGGAATAGCACCGGACTTGAGTGACCATATCAGGAATTTTCTAGGAAAGTTTGAATTACTCAAGACGTTCCAGCAGGTGGCTGTCCCGTTGATCGCCTCAAGTCTCCTTCTCGACCATTACTCGCCTGGGATGCACCGTAAGCTACCAGAATGCTTTATTTACTCGTGTTAACCGAATTTAGCCTTCGACTGTCACCAGGTTTTTCGTGAACTCTACGAAAATGCTTGCTATCAAGCCAGCTCCGAACTCAAATCAAGCTTCGAGAGGCCTATACCACCTTCAGAAACTGTAAGATTGATATCGTGCAGCATGTTCACTCAGTTGGCGCAGTCCCAAGCTGTGGGCTCGATGCGTGACTGGCATCGGCAGCAACTCGCCCAAAATTTTGGTATATTACGAAGCATCATGTCGAACGACACCTGTCTTAGCTGCATTAGGCGGCGGCCGCAGTACGGCTTCCCATGTGGACATCTTGTTTGTCAAAATTGTATTAGAACCTTCAGTCCTAAAAGCCGCTCTGATCCGTGGGAGTATGTACCACAGTCATGTCATATCTGCGGACAGCTCACCCCAGGAATTTCGATACGTCTGTTTCCTGATACCAGCCGACTCCGAGTCTTAAGTATTGATGGTGGGGGCATACGTGGGTCCGCTCCAATTGGCTTCCTCAAGGCGATCCAAGACGAGACTGGTATACCATATTATAATGTACAGCGCAGTTTCGACGTCAAGGTCGGGACCAGTTCGGGTGATGTTTGCTTACTGACGATCCGTGTTTCCAAGACTAACGGATGTGTAGGTGCATTGAGCGTGATCTGTCTGGACATTCTGGGATGGAACGTAGACGACTGCATGTCTCATCTCAAGCAGTTTGCCCAACAATCGTTTATCCAGCGTTCCTCGTGGTTTACACGTTTACTAGACCGTCTTCCACTTTTCTCCAATGTGGCATGGCTATTCCAACTGATCTGCACCTTGCTAGCTGATAGCAAGTATACTGCTGAGGGGCTGGAGAAGTTGTTGATTGAAACATACGGCCAAAACCGAAGTACGACCGATATATCCCCAGCTACCGCCATAGGGGCCCATGTAGGTGTAACATTGACCAGAGCGTGTGATGGCAGCGTATTCCTCGTCACAAACTATAACAGCGCCACAGGGCAAGTCCAGGATTCTGGTTCGTGCCATTGGGAATGTCACTTCCTACTATCTTTTGCTAACAGCAACTAGATTATCGTCATCTCGAATTGAATGACGGGCAATCTCAAAGTAAATGGTGGCAGGTGTAAGTGGAATCGAAACCGCCTCAAGGCTAACAAAGCTAAACCTCAGCAGGTTGCGATGTGCAACAGCAGCGCCGTAGTACGTTGATATGGTATCTTGTTCACAAGTCATGGCTAAATCATGTACAGCTACTTCAAGCCAGCGCGTATCGGCGACCTCGGAGTTTTTCAAGATGGTGGGCTTGCAGTTAACAATCCAGTGTGCATTGCTATTCGTGAAGCAACATTGTTGAGTCCAGATATGGCGGAACCTAGTGTTGTGGTTTCACTTGGCACCGGTTCTGCTTCAGATGATGATAATGGGTCATCAGGCATTTTATCTGAAAAGTTCCTTCCTAGGCTTTCAAGGGCTCTTTGGAAGCAAACCGGTTCAAAAGTCACGTGGAGCCATCTTCTGAGTCATCAGAGAGCCGATAGCGACACAAAGCTTTTTCGGTTTGACGTCGACTTCATGGGAGAAGAACCTTTGCTCGATGAGGTAAGTATGGTAGAACGCGTACGACAGACGGCCCACGATACGGCGACAGGATCGTCAAGCCTTCGTAGATTGTGCCGCCATCTGCGGGCTGAGCTTTTCCTCTTCGAACTAGATGAACTTCATCCACCGTACTTCTTGAGGGGTGCTTATCAATGCGCTGGTCGCATTATCTGCCGGTTGAGAGCTCACACGCCAGAATACAAAGGATTCATCAAGCAGCTGTGCGAGAGAGAAGCGGCATTCCGAGTAGGAGCCCAGTTCCTGAGGATTACATATGAGAATATCAATACAGATCTCTGTTTCAAGGTAAATTTCGCCGTACCAACCCTCAGTAGTTCGATCTCGATTGCTTTGTTAGAAGGGGCGGATGAGGAATCCCACATCAACGGTTCACCTTTCGCGATAGAATGGCTTATCCGAAGGCAAGCACTGAATGCCGGCTTTGGCACATCCGACCATCGGGAACTGGCGCATTCTGATCTCGATTGTGTTCCATGAATTCGACCCGCCACTTCTCAAGTCTAGGATGACTTATAGGAGCTAGTATCAATGAGCCATGTCATTGCTAGGCGTTATATTTACTGAAGCTAGTATTTAATACTTCTGTTACCCATTATTTTAGGTGGAGAAACTAAATTGCACGATGAGGTGAGATTGGAGTTCTGTTTCAGAGAACAAGTCACTGTACAGAGGAATTTATAAAGTCTATTAAATCAAATAATCATGACATTTATCGTCGCTGAATGGTACCGGTAGGCCAAGGTCACGCGCAGACATATGAAACGGAAATTGTTATACATTACGTATACTCGGTCTATTGATGCAGATTTGTGTATTCATGTTAGGTTCTATGAAAACTCTACGACTCCGAGAATTTACTATTTCCGTGTGCAGTCATAGAAGGCTCCTGCTTGCACGCCGCATCCCAGTATATGCTTACTGTTCAACAACTCACCGCAGTAATAAGACAGACAAACTTTCTTTTCTCTTCTTTCCTTTATACTGCGGTCTTCTGAGACTAACGATGGCATTCCGCAGCAGACTTCAATCTTCGTGTTCGCCCATTTAACCGCTCAAGTACGCCCGACGTCGCTGCTCGTCTAAGTACCGGTATCCCTGTCTACCCGAGATTCGTATGCACCACGACTGGATAGTCGAGCCTTGGGCCTACATATGTATCAGCACCCTCTAGGAGATTCGGTCATTGAATGTTATTGGCTGATGTACGTACCAGATGTGCTCCGTATCTTCCAGCGATGATTGCAGATGAATGTTATGATCTTTATGCGAAAGCTGAATGTAGCGTCAGTGGATTCGCATCGTTCGTAGTCGGTGGGATATTTGGCTCCGACGTAAGCTCGTCAAGGGAAATGATAGGAATTTCTGAATCTTTGACTGGATCAGGGATCAATTTGGGCGGCCTTTCGCTGGTAGCTATCCTCGCGCTTAGAGATACGATCAGTTGGTTCTGTGTGGCAACCATCTCTCCGCACGTATTCTCATATGCCATGAGCCGATCTTTACGCGCCTGCAACTCTGAGATTTGACGCTTTAGGTGAGTGTTATCATCATCTAGTCGACGGCAGAATTCCAGCCATTGTTGCAACTGATTCAACATATCATGAGGCAGCGAAGCGAAAAATTCTTCAGGCATATTGACTCACTCCTACACAGGATCAGATATTGAGCAGAGGCTTGTGGCTCATGGGCCTTAAGTATCTAGGTGCCCTGCTAAGACAGGAATACAAGATGGAATACCTGCCCAGGATATGTTTGGGCCCAGAGACCGTCCAATCTAGACTAGCTGTCTTGGTACAAAGAACCTGCAGTGTGGAAAAAGTTCGAAATGGGCCAGCAAATAACATCGGCGAGATTAAGATCTTCCCGGATGCCATCGGAAGGTCTGTTCATGCCTCTACATTAGCTAACCAAGTCACTTGATTAGGACATATTATTACATCAGGGGGGGGACTTAAATACACATTTAATACCGGTTCTCACAGAGTCTCATATGGGACTTCATCTATGAAATATTGGTGTTTCAACGTGACGAAGGGTCTCCTCGAAAGGAGTCTTCAATAATCACGTTGTATCTTATACAGTACATTGCAATCCACATAAGTTCAGCTACGAGGCTGTTCTGCCTGTTTGGCATCTCGATAATCAACCACTCCGCTTTGAATCTACACAACGGCAAGGAGAAACTCAGATTTTATGGATAAAGTATTTGCGTGCCTCTTGGGTATCAAGGCATCTTCATAGACGCAAGCTATGGGTCTCCTTATGCACGACAACGTTCTTGAGCCAAGAGCAACTCACAAGTCCAGCCTTCGCAATAGAAGGCATTCAAAGGCACAATCTATTTATGTATCTTTGAAAACTCACATGAACGACATATTGGGCACTTCCAGAGAAAACCATAGTGCTTATATCATCGACAGCCGGTTCCCCAGGTCTGTTCCGAGATATGATACGCAGTATTCGTTGCTAGAACATTCAACGCCTTCCAACAACGGCCTCAACTTGCATATCAATTCCTCATCTCCACCAGTCAAATCAACAAAGAAGAGCTTCCGGTCTCCGATCTGCTTAGCAAGAAAAATAGGGCGTCAAATAGGAGGCTTCCGGAGCGGATCAGTGCGATATCCAGCCACTACCTCCGAACCTTTAGAGGAAGACATAACACATAGACAGCGTCATGGTGTCGATATTGAAACGCGGACGGTTCTCGACAACAGGAAAATGAATCCTTTCTCAAAAACACGGAATACTCGATGCTTGGAATCAAGGTATTCTGGTACAGAACCTTTACTTTGCGATCCTCAGGCTTCCAGGCATCCGAGGAGGGGGGATAGTCCCCCGGAGGAAGAACGACATCATGTTGATATTGCGCAGGACAAAAGTTATTTCTACACATCGTCACAAAGCGACTCAGAGAGTGTTCGCCAATTTTCTCATCAGTGGATGATATCAAAGATCAACAATGCATTGGATCAGCTCCGAGATGCTTTCAGTCTCGATGAACATGAGAGGGCCTTCTTCAAATCTCGCAGGAGCATGCCAATAGACAATACTCCAAAGCAATACTCAATGTCGGTGTTTATTGACGGCAGAAGAGTTGCAAGGAATTGTTGAAATCGATTCCGAGAGCGAGATCATCGGCTTACCGTTTAACCTGATGAAACACGTGCGCTATGGAGTTATAGTCCGAACTTGATGTCTCAAAAGATGGATGAGGGAAAGATTTAGATAGATGAGTATTTAGATGATTGTAAGACTAAATCTTTGCACATTTTACAGTAAGGTGCGGGTTCACCGTCAGTAGCCCATCATCGTAATTTGGTTGAATTGACCCAAAACAGACTAGCTGCGGCGCTAATCCTACTGACAGATGACGCTAGTGTAGTCACTGTTCTGTCATCCACTAACAGCATTCTGATCAGCATCAAGGAATTAAAGCGAATGCGGACATCATCTAGAGTCGGATGGAGCGATAGTTACTAATGAAAAGATCCATCAGATGATTGAAACTATAATAGGCTGATCTGAATATTGATACCCGATTCCGGACCGCTGACATAGCAAGAGACAATTATGGCTGAGAGATGGCGGGGTACATTCTGACTCGGGTTATGCATGGGTCGTGCGTCACACTAGTTCATCGTGGGGCACTTTTGATAAAAACATGATAAAAAATTGCTAACGGTGAACCCGCACCTTACTGTAAGATGAACCTATGATCGCTTTAATAACCTGGAATTTATCTTGCTTAATAATCATCGCTTGGTCCGGTCCTGGATAGAGTCCACATTCATTCATATTCTTTGATACTGATCTGGATGCTGCTAGTGAGCGAACAGGACAGGGACTATACTAGCGTCATCAGTAAGTGAGGTGTGCGCCACATCTAGTCTGTTTTGGGTCACTTACAACAAAATTACGATGGTGGACTACTGACTGTGGACCGGCACCTTACTGTAATAAAACCTTAGTATGTCAAGATATCTTGCCTTTTTTTCTTGTCTTTTCTTTTTTTTTCTTTTTTTTTTTTGATACCTGACGTAGCTTTGCTCCTATCCAACCTTATTCGTAGGGCTATTTGCTCGAGGTTCTGGCCTAGCGTCGAATAATCTCTTGTCTACTGAGATTGACAACGAATCTTTTACCCCGCCCTTTTTTCCCTTTCAGGATCAGTTGATAACATTTTACTCAATGTTCGCTCAAAGTCGGATATGCTAAGAACGGAACATGGGGAATCACATAGCACATTTCAACTAGGGCGCTTATCCAGAAATTTATCCATTTCCCATTGGTGAAATCGTGGTTAGGTTCTATTTATGCTATTCTCTATGTATATTTGTGCCTTACAACTTATGACGGTGAAGCAGCCAAGTAAAATTGAGCGACTGCGTGTTCGAGGGCTGTGCTCAAAAATGTTGAACTCGTTTGACAGAGAGTCCAAGAGGTAGCAGTCTGGGAAGAATCGTGAACCTATTGCGACGTGATGACATAACTAATTTCTAATTTCAGTCTTCATGCCGAGAACCCTTCGGTTATGCACACACACACACACAAGTCTATTTCGCCCGGTACGCTAATGCCCAAAGGGCTCTGAAGCTAAAATTACATAACGTCTCTCTAGTTTTTGCCTTGCTCTCGCTAAGCCCTTGAAAATCTCGCCTTGTTCTTTCCAGTCTAGTCATCGTTCTTTGCCTTATCCTCGTAGATATTGGTATGTATCAAGCCGACTTAAAGCCCAATTCCTCCAAGCGTTCCGTTTCCTATCTTCGGCAGCTGAGGCGATGCCTGCTGTTAGCTGTCTGAGGGCGTCAGGGGTTGTTGGTTGGTGTTATTGATTGAATGGTGTCAGGATAGTGCAGTGCGAGCCATGCCTGTTCCAGGCGACCTGTGGCGATCGTGAACATGACTGCAGCTAGTCCCGCATTCATGTTCAGTGCCCATTTGTGACCGTCTGATGTTGCCTTGCCTCCTAGGCGAAAGGAGAGGTTGCCACCTTTCTCATTCGGACATTGAAACATCTCTTTGCGTTGTGTCGTCCATTTCATGCATCGAAAGAGGAAATGTTCTACCGATTCCGTTGCCCGCCCACATGGGCACTCATCCGCTGGTGCAGCCCTGATCTGATAAGATAACCGTTCAACCGGGCCATTCCGGTTCTAAGAAGGGAGAGGAAGCTACCAGATGGAGTTGGCAGCCATTCTAGAAAGGTCGACTCAGCTCTGCCTGGAAACATACCCGCCTGCTGTACGACCAATTATCATGGGAAGAGGCCAGCATGCTGGCACAACGTGGATCTGCTCTCGTTCGATTGAGAATTGTGGTCTTCGGTTTGGTCACTCCTCTCTATAGCGTCATGTACGGTTCCGTTGCGTAACGGGTTGACATCTTGGCTGTCTCCCGAATTTTGAGCTTGCTGTTGGGTGGCAACCAGATGAAGTTGACTCTGTTTCCGTTTGCGCTAAGCTTCTCTACAGCATCATATATCACTCATATATACCCTTGACCTGATTGCTGGCGAGTTTACTTATCGCTTGTGCTGCAGGTCTGTTACTCGTTAAGATCACAATAACTCGATACTCGATTTCTGACAGACAGCCGAGGCCATGAGCAATGGCTGCTAGTTCGGCTGTGTATGGGTTGTGTCTTTCCCTCGAGCCCAGGGTGACCGAAAAGGTTTCGTTGGTCTTGCCGGCTCTTGCCGCGGATATGGGAACTCTGATAACTCCTCCCATGCCGACTTGACCATTCCGCGCGGAGCTGCTTATCGCTATCCTGACCGCCCATCCCGCTTTAACTAGTTCTTTGATCTTGCCCTCTTCTTCCTGTCTTGTACTGTACTGTACTGTACAATACAATTCAATTCAATTTATTACGCACGGCTACTTGTTTTAGTAGAAAGGTGTCGCACTGAGCGTGCTTAAAGGGTTAGAGTGAATGTGATGAGGAGCAGCAAATGGGTTGATTGATTGTCTTGAGTATTCCCTTGTGCGGGGTATTTCATCCCGCAGAGTTACTTAAACCATATAGCTAGTTTACTAATGCCTACCCTGCGACAAAAGGGCACTAGTGAGTTATGTCTCACGCTGTAGATCGCAAGCCAAGGCAAGCCATTCAACACGGTAATCATAGATGACCTGTAGTACGGTATTGTTTAGGATTTTCTGATACCCGAATTAAATTGATCACCGAGCATGATGGCCACTAGTGGACCTGTGTAATGTATCAACAAGCCTTGATGTCAGCGTCTGTTTGTTGACTTGCATCTACAACCTGTACTAGCCCCACCACCAACGTCCCGATTCGTTCCCGCAGACTTTTGACGAAAGCCAGGCGGCCTCCGGTTTTGGTCAGAACCGTACATATTTCCACCTCTCTGAAAAGAAAAATACTCCATTTGAAACTAAAACATCCTGTTCTTGGCCATGCTTTGAAGTGGCTGATTTAAGCTGCGAGTTTTGCCCGAGAGCGTTTCGGAGGCTGAAAATATATCACAATGCTGACCATAAACCCGGCCGACATGAAATAAAACTAGAGTTAAATATGACAGAACGTCTGCAGTTTCACGCTTCAGTCCCGGTCACTTTCAACATACTGGTTAAGATAGAGAAACGTGCAGTTGACCGTCGAAATAATGAGCTGGACTACCTTGGCTGAAACAGGTACTCCCAACAACGATCACCTTACTAGAGGTGAAGGTAGTAGACAACCAGGCGGCGCTCAGGTGGACCAGGGAATCGGAGTTTCCAGCTTTATCGCTGCATTAAGCAGTGGTTTTGCGATATTTATGTTACAGCTCTTACTCTTCTTGCTGCTGAGGAACAAGCTGGGGCGCATCTCGTAAGATCACCTGTTTGTAGTATGCCTCGTTCGGACACTAAATCATCTAGCAATGAACCCAAACTAAAACCACGAACTCGTTTAAGTAAGCCAGATATGAGATCCTTGAGTCTAATCTCCTCCATCAAACTGTCATGGAACAGCAGCGACTCGGACATTGCCCGCGACTGCGGTCTCGATGCCTACTTTTTCCTCCGCTACTTGAGAACTCTTCTTCTTGCGTTTTTTCCAATAGCAACGCTCGTGATACCCGTGCTGATCCCATTGAATTACGTCGATGGACGCGGTCATCAACTTGATGCCGATGGACGTGCTGCAAAGGATCATGACAACGCACAAGTCACTGGCCTGGACACGCTTGCCTGGGGCAATATCAGACCAAGCAATGCTCACCGCTACTGGGCGCACCTCGTGATATCCATCCTTACTATCGTATGGGTTTGCGCTTTGTTTTTCTATGAGATGAGGGCCTACATCGACATACGGCAAACTCATCTTGCCAGTGCTGATCATCGATCAAGACCTTCAGCGGCAACTATTCTTGTTGACTCAATCCCTGACGAGATGTGTACCGACAGTGAATTGAGAAAGCTCTTTAACCATTTTCCAGGTGGCGTAAAGAACATATGGATCAATAGAGACTTCTTTTTGCTACTTCAATTGATCGATCGCCGAGACGCAATTGTCCAGCAACTGGAGGTTGCGGAGACAACCTTGATTAGGAATGCCCATCATGCTCATCAAAGTCGATGGAACAGGGGTAAAGCAGGAGATTGGCGACGGCTCTTTCGCGGAAACTCTAAGAGCACTGGAATCCAAGGCTCAACCGGAAAGCGTTCTGAACCCCGTAAATTCTCGATTACTGATTGTGAAAAAGACAGCAGCGGTGGATTGCGGGAAAAGTACTTAAGTAACAGCGACCGGCCCGCGCATAGACTCTTTGGTTTAGGATTGCGATGGCTATTTAACGCTGCGTCTTTCTTCGAAAAAGACGAAACTATAAGTTGGTGCCGCAAAGAGTTAGAAGAGCTTAACACAAGAATTGAAGAGCAGCAGAGGCATTACGCTGACCTTCCGCCCGCAAACTCAGCATTTGTCCAGTTTCGCACTCAAATCGCGGCACATATGGCTTGCCAAAGCGTAATTCACCACTTACCAGAACATATGTCACCACGGTTTATTGGATTCTCTCCAGATGAGATTATTTGGAGGAATATAGCATTGTCTTATAAAGCAGGTTGGGTCCGTGCGGTGATAACTTATGCTATTCTATTCCTAATGATATCCTTGTGGTCACTTCCAGTAGCGTGGACGGGCGCACTCAGTCAGGTTGATCAACTAATTCAAGGGAACGGCCTGCTTTCGTTCATGGGCGCACTCAGTCAGGTTGATCAACTAATTCAAGGGAACGGCCTGCTTTCGTTCATTGGCCGTACAGAGGTGCTCAGACATGTCATTTCAGCAGTTGCTGGCTTATTACCGACTACAGCATTAACAGTCCTTTTAATCCTCCTACCGGCTTTTCTAGAATATTTGGCGGATTTTAAAGGGGTCAAGGCTTACTCTCTGAGACAGGAGTTTGTTCAGACTTTTTATTTTGCCTTCTTGTTCATACAAGTATTCTTAGTTGTTTCCATTGCTTCCTTCTTTACGGCGTCGATCAAAGAGCTAGCTACGAACGTCCGGGGCGTGCAGCAAGCTAGTGAAGTGGTCAATATCCTTGCTCAGAACCTCCCGAAAGCGTCAAACTACTTCTTCTCTTACATGGTTCTTCAGTCCTTCTCTACCAGTGCTGCGACGCTTCTTCAAGTGGGCAGCTTGATTTCGCATTACATTGTCGCCCCAATGTTTGACGTCAGCCCACGAGACAAATGGCTCCGAAAGATGAAACCGCATTCGGTTAAGTGGGGCTCCGTGTTTCCTGTATACACGAACTTCGCATGCATCGCTCTAATCTATTGTATAATATCCCCACTTATTTCTGTCTTTGCTATTCTCACCTTCGGTCTCATATGGCTTGCTCAGCGGTACGCAATATTAAATTTTTATCGCTCTGATCACGACACCGGAGGAGTTCTTTATCCTCGCGCCCTCAACCAGACATTCACAGGCGTGTACGTAATGGAACTATGTCTTACCGGTCTTTTCTTCATGGCCAAAGACGAAAAGGCAAATGCAGTCTGTACAGCACATGCCATAATTATGGCAATAGCGTTAGTGGCTACAGTTCTCTTCCAGGCGTTTCTGAACTGGAGGTTCGCTCCTCTCTTCCGATTTCTACCTGTAGATTTGGGGAATGATGAAGTGACGATGACCGGCCAGAAGAAACAAGTAAAGGATGATCTCCAGCTGCAACAAATGGTGTTGGAGGATGTATCAAACATGGACGAAAGGAATGAAGTCTCTGAGGACCTCCGTACTAACACAACCAATAAATTAAGCACCGAGTTTCCCACGACGCTAGAAGAGGTACCTATAAACAAGAGGGAAATCCTAGTCAATGAAGCATTCAAGCATTACGCTCTCACCGTAAGACAGCCTATTATCTGGATTCCTCGAAATGGCCTTCATGTCAGCAAAGATGAAATTGACCAATGTAAACAAAGTTCGGGTTCTATCGATATGTCTAATGATGGTGCCTATCTAGATGATCATGGGCGTGTGGTCTGTCATGACAAACCACCAGATTTCTCAGAGTTCGCCTATGTTAAGCTTTGATTAAAGACAAGCATATTGGAAATTATTTGCGAAAGCACGACGCTTTACATTTCATGTTATTTTATATGGTGCTCTCAAACTTTTGTTAAACAAATTGATAGCTGGTTAATATACTCCATTGGTTGCGACTTGATCGAATGTGTAGCGTTGATTAATTATAGGGAAGTAAACTCCCTTCCCAAGAGATTTGCTGACGTGCATGCACATTGGTTTCCATCATTCGGACAAGGCAGTCTGGTAACTACCGAAACTGAAGCAAATGGCTTTGGCCGGTCATAGCACGAAGGTCGGGTTTTGTGTAATGGAGAGGATGTATAATTACACGAAAACAAGCCATGTCCGTTGTGTGAGTTTCGTGGCTTTCATCCTTGATTCGTTATGCCTCTAGGACTTGTTCATTTTTCTCCTCTCCACTTAGAAGCATCCATTGGAGACTTACAAAGATGGAGCTGCCACATTTTGGTTTACATGGTGGAAAGTTACATGTAATTTGATCAAATCGTAGCAGTGGGAGTGAAATGTGAAAATGTCTTAGGGCCTTCACGTCTTCGAAAGAACCAAGACACTCCGTTAAATGGGCCGCTCAGGCATTTTCCCCTTCCCTATGAGAGGATGAGAGAATTCGCGACCTTATATGTGGACCTTTAATCGTTCCTTAGAGACATTATGAAATGTACTTCTACAATAATCATGGGAAGACGAAACCAAGCATGTGGTAGCACTATAGGCATAACGAGTAATACTAGCAGACTATAGAATATGTTCATGAAATGCAAGGTTGATTTGAAAGTCAGTGGTGTACTTGATGAAGACAGGAAGTTCATAACTCGCTCTTTCCAGTATAGGCGTCTTCACAGTAGTGTAGCGACCACAAGCCAAGTTATATGCCCATAACTAAGATAAATCTGGACTCGATAAAGTATCCAATACAAGTTTGTAAATCAATATACAGTTACACAGTCAACGTTTTCTAATGGTATTTTCATCGTACTGTAGTGACCAAGAACCTACGGAAGCATCTGCGCGGTGCGAGGCAGGCCAGCGGCACTCGTACACCCCCTTTTCTTGGAAAAGGGAGCCACTCGTAAAAGCCAGCCTCCGAGGGGACCATGTCCCATTAGGAAATTGTTTGCTGCGAGTTTTGAGGTCCAAGTTTGGGTTTATTTCCTCGGGCACTCTGGTTTCTCCCCGGTACGGTGGTCATCAAGGCGTTTCCCTAGCCGGTAGGCAAACGGCAGGTTTTTGCGATGGAATGGTGAGGCCATTGATATCCCTAATGTAAGTTACTAAATTGAATCTATCATATATATTTCTGTCGCTTCAAATAAACAAGCCTTACAGGCATGTCAGTGGCTAAGTTCGTTGAGACTCGTCATTCGCCAGCAATTTTGCACGAAGGGCAAACCGAACTGCCGTCGTCAGAAGGTGGGGGCCAGCAGCGCCATAAATGTATGGGTCCTATTTAGAATTAGCTGCGTACTTTCATTCAAAAGTGGACTCACATCAAGTCTGGGCAATTCCCCGTCCGCAAGGAAGTCAGAGGCTTCCTTTGGTAGATCCAGACAGCTTTGGGCCATTGTGGCCATGACTCCTTCGAGATAAGCAACTATGTAACCCTCGTTCGCATCGCATAAGATACCATCAGCACAAAACTCCCAGTTCCAATCGAGCACTCCCTTTTGTCAGTTAAAGCCCTTTCACACTTATTTGCGAGCTTTACCTATCTTAATTATCCCATACTCATTGACTTGAATGATATCGATGCCATATACCACTTCAAGGCCCTTAAGGTGATGAAGGCCTGCAACGACCTTGAATAATCAGCTATCCATAACAATCCCTCGAGAAGGAAAGACTTACCTGTTTCATTATACAAGATACCTCTTCTGGATGTAATGGGAAAAGGTCGAATACATTAAGGTGCAGATACTCAAAAACGATGAAGAGATTGTCACTCTCAGTCTCATAATAGAATGACTCTGGTCGTACAACATTGTCATGGGAGATGCAGGAGAGTTTTTCGCAAATGGACAAGGATGCACGCGGAAGCTGTTTGATTCTGACCAATTGTCGACTAATCAAATGGCGATGCTGGCCAACCCACATTTTCCCATGGCTTTGTTGGCGGTGGCGCTGATAGTCTGAATCAGGATGTCTATGAAGGTAACATGGAACAGCGGCATGTTTAGAGCGTCTCGCGTTTAACACGCAAAAGGCCTGTTTTCGTCGGATCAGCGTGCTCATGGTTTTGATTGCTTTCGTAGAGAAACGAAGGCTGTCGGGGCTATATATACTACCTCGGCTCATTGGTGTTGTAATCCAAGCCAGGGTTTTTATTTTTCATCTAGTATGGACCCTGGATACCGGCCTTCCTCAAGTCTGTATTCAGACGAACCCTTCTTTCTAGAAAACCTCGTTTTCTCCCCTCCGCCTATACTATTAGGGACGGTTGCGCATACCGATATGGAGTTAGTCAATAAGATTGATCTTCTTCAATCCGAAGTCGACAGTCTAAAAGCTGATTGGACACCCACATACAAGATCTTCGAGCTGTCTGCAGGACTTGCGTGCCATATGGAACTGATTTTCGAAGATGTCAAAGAACGTATCACACTAGAACGAAATAAATGGTTAGCAAACTGTACAGCCTTTTAGAGTTAGCCTCGTGTTGGGCTATTCCACGCGCCTTGAAAAGTCATTTGAGAAATTTAAAGTCTGTTAAGACTGCAAAACGCAATGACAAAGAACCTAAATAGAAGCCCGGCTCAAAAGTATGAAATTAGAATTAGGTTATCCAATTGAAGATTCATTTGGTATGCTAGCTCGTGGACATGGCTTCTATTAGAGATGAAGAAGGCAGGCACGTTTGTGTAAATACCCGTGACTTTCCTTTTGACGCATCGTGAACACTTTGGAGTTCCGAGGTCGCAGCTATACTTTGCCTTTGCTCACGCATTACAATATTTTCGGAGAGAGGTTCGCATTGTTGACCGAGGCAAGTTAGATAATTTTAACAGTAGAGGAGGAAGTTTATAAGGCGGTAGCATGAAGTGGAGTAAGTTTTATCTGTGAAACAAACGGTCTAACCTCTTCTGAGCAGAAACCCTAGTTGGTAGCTGAGTAACATAAGACGAACTACCCAACTATGATATAGATCGCCGAAACAACGAACTTGAGGGACTGAAAATAAGCTCAGATGTGGAGCTTCTACTATCACATACTGCTTCTCAATCCTAATACTTAACTAACAGTATGCCTGACCTCAAACTTGGCCATTTCTGAACAATCTCCTCAACGAATCTAGAAGCCCATAATATCGTTCGAGAATCTCGCCTCTATGGTGGACTAGACGAATGTAGGCACTAACATGGACCATTTTTGGAAGTGCTCATTTGCCGAACAACAAAATAAATCTTTCTCACAATGGCCTGCAAAACGTTCCTCAGGAATGCGTGGAAGCCAAGGCCAACCTGGTCGGTGATGGGCTGACAGATGTCAACATTGATGCTGAAGACGTAAAATTTCTATAGTTCAGTTTACCCTTCAATAGCAAGTAGGACACACCCTTCCTCCCCCCGCAGACATCTACCACTTAGGTGTAGGCTCAGATTGCTCTAGACGGCGCTTGCTGGTACGTCGTTAAGTATTGCGTCAGGTGTCGGCCTAGCGCAATCAAATTCACCACGAATATGACACTCATATCTCTTTTGATGCCAGCTTGCTACGCATATGCTTTAATGCACCTTGATTTTATTTCCTTTCACTTGCTGCCCTTCTTCCAATCATCTCAATCAAGTGGAAAAAACGGAGATGGAGGGAAAGAGCAAAACGAGGACATGGAATGAAGACAGAATGACAGTATGCTTCACTTGCGCTAATCAAACGTAGTAGAAATCCATAAAGATTTCAATTAACTACCCAGTTGGATGACTCAGTAGAAATAGAGTGCCCACGGCTGTTCCGTATTTACTTCTGTCGTCAAGGGTGACCCCCTCCGATCAACGAAAAGCTTTATCTTTGGCCTGTTATCACACGCATAGTACTCTCTCGCCATGGAATCTTCCAGGTAATTACATAGGACCCATCCCATGTAAGTGCGCTGATGCCACTCGCCGTCTGGTGCTGGTGCGTCCACTAAGTCGCTCATGCGTCTCAGAGTCGTCCGATCCTGCCGTATCTCTTGCTGCCAATTTATCACCTGGTGCTCTTCAACAGCATCTGAAGGTACAACGATTATGATCGTCCGTAAACGTGGAAGTCGGGCAAGTGCCTCAAAAAGGGGAAAGAGATCAGGGCTGTCTGCAATATCAACGGCAATGTGCTCTATAGGTAGCATGAGATCTTCCAGCTGAGAGTCTGTGATCGCGGAAGGGGGAACTAGAAAGAGGGTTCGAGGGACAAATAGATGTTCCAGAGCTCTATCGAGCCCTGTATAGACACGGCTAGAGCGGAGCCATTCGCTCCTCGCCTCTTTACACGGATATGTAATTGCTGGTGAACGGCCATGCGTGGAGTGCGGAAGGCTTACTGTGATCTCGCACCAATCACGCGCGAATGTGCAGACTGCCACGGCCGGGTCCACACCATCAAAAGCTGCTCGCCAGATCATCATGCGAAGCTCTGTCGGGAGATGTTCGAACTGAGGAAAGCTCGCTATACCTGCATCTCTGTGTATGTCCGTGTATTTCTCTTCATATTTATCTGAACGTTCAGCCGCGTACTTGCCAGTCTCCTGCGTGCATTGGATAGGCTCCTGCAACCTGAACCCTACGTAAGGTAACAGCATCTAGACAGTAACAAACAGATAGTCTACAGAGGAACATAGTGATGCGTCTGGAAGAATTGGAGACCTTATACGTAACATCAAAATTACATTGACGTCCTTATTTTGACATATCGGGCCAAAAACGAGAGGAGTTCACTATAAGACCTGGCAGATCATGGACAGTGGTTTGGCGTGACACGAAGGGGAAGTCGGTATTAGGCGTTCGCGTATATTGAGACTATACTTAGTATTCATTCTTCAGAATCAATCTTGCCGACTAGAGAAGAGATGCGTGACACAACCCGAGATAAAGTTATCCCAGCTCTGAAGTTCCCCAGAATGTGATCCATAACCCTTAGCATGGCTTAATTCGGTCATGGAATTCGCGCATAAGCAATTGTTCAGCTCTGCAACATACATACCTCTCAGGTGCTACCTCTCGGACCACTGTCCCAGAATGGATTGGCCTTCACAGTGCGTGTTGGTCATACGGCTCCATCCCCTTCGACACTATGATAATGTCTACAAAGCCAGCCGGGTACAGATGGCAAGCACCATGTGCCGAGATTTTCGTGGGAAATGGACGCAATTCCGGCAGTTGTGGCACATCATGGGCTTGTGAAGTCGGGAACGAAAAGGTAGGCAATGTAGATATGCATTAATATCTAGTGCCTGCCTGCTCACAACAAGCAGTCAGTCGTAATGAATGATAGATTATATGCTAGGGCACTGTATTGTAGTACATGGACATGTACCTGCTTACGCAGCGACTTACAGCTGTGGTTGTCGAAAATAGTACCCTAAACACATCCTTCGACTTCGATAGATGATAGAGTAGTGAGTTTTCTAGCGTCCTCCCCCACTGATCTCTACACAAAAAGCCAGGAGTCAAGAGGCTCTTTTTGGATGGCTCATAGAATATAAAATTAGATAATTTCTCTCATAATATCTTTTGCTATTGTGACTAGGCACGAGAGAGCGTTGATACTTGCTCCTGACCTCAAGTATCTTCCTCCAGGTCCTGCTTCGACATCAATGAAGGAACATGTCAGATACGGGTCTTGTCCCTACTACAACAGTGAAGTCGCGCAAATTTCTCGTAGAGTAGATCATCAAGTGCAGCAGCTTGGGGGTAGAACCAGCGTTTCCCACAGTTCCATCACTTATGTAAATCGAGGTGATGATCAGGTGTCGCTTCGAAGAAGGATCGTAGAACTCAACCGGGAGAACGGGAGCCTGCATCATGAGGATAAGTACTTTTCTACACTGGCTAACGATGTATTAGTATCTCTTAAATCCTCGATCCAGTCTTGTCTATCCAAAATCCCTGACGCTCTGCTCTATGATAACACAGCTACTTTGCACGGCAGCGAAGTGGGGAGTAGCACCTCGCAAGGGTTCAGGCGCCAACGCCCGCATACTGACCCTCTCTCGAGCCTCAATCAGCGCAAGGATCATATTCACGGTCTCGCTGATGCACAGGATCCTCAGATAAATTTGGTGTCTTCCTGGGACCAAGGTGCAAGAAACCGTCCATTACCGCCGACTCCACACCCAATGTCGAAGTCTATGCTCGAGAAGTTGGAGATTAATCTCATAAGAGAAAATGGGATGATGAGACAATCAATCGCATTGAATAGAAAGCTCGTTTATCGGGTGCTTCTGCGTTTAGTTTCTCAGATACGACAATTGGCTTCTGCGTTCCGATCGGTTGTCGCAGAGGCAAACCTCTTGATTGAGCAATTGAATACCGACTGGCGACAGTACATTGAGGATGTTATCAAGGAGAAAACAGATCCAGAATTCCAGGACTCAGGTATCGATTTAGCCTGCAGCTTAGATGCCAAATATCGCGCCGGCAACATTGACAATAGATCAGAGTCAAGGCTACGGGATTCGGATCTAAGTTCGAGCTACGAGCCAGACTCGATGGAGCCAGACTATAGAATAAGGGATCATATACCTCGTTCCGCTACACAGGCAGGTGGCAGAGATTTCAATTCACTGAACAGCCCATCCATGAATCGAGGAAGTTTGAACACGGGAAAGAGCAAGGAGGATCAAGGTCAAAGCTGGCCGTATGTAGAACCTCTTCGAATAGCTCATCAGCAATCTCAGCCTTCCCCTGGTTGTGATACTGCGTCGTCGAAGGCTAAATTAAGGCAACGCCTCGCCATGCTTCATTATGAGCGCATGTACTACAGGAGACTGGCGAACGAGGCAGTCGTCCGATTTGTACCCACAATAAAACACCACGTTCACGAGGTCCAGAATCTTTTGCACGAGTATAGCGCGGAGGAGAATAGACTCAGGGGCTTACTCCAGCAGCAGATAAACCTTCGAACCACTCAGCATCCTGATAGCGACGGATAAGGACCAGACTTGTATGCGTCATATCAAGATAGCACTCTATGTCAATACTGTACTGTACTGATAATCGCCTAGATAAGGTCTCGTTTCGAAATCCATCACCTCTCCCTTTCTTTGTTCGTTTTGCTATTTCTTTTTTCTTCCAGAATCACGTTCTTTATGGTGCTGCCTAATCAGTAATCAGACAGCATTCCTATGGAATATAACCTCCGAATGGAACAGTAGTAAGGGGAATACAACATAGTAGCGATGTGAAGCGTATAGATACTCATCAGTAGAACTTCGTTTAGTGCAGGATAGTGGAAAGTACCCTACAGTCCATCATCACAATCAACGTCAACGTTTTCGTAGAGGTAAGGGCAGGTTTGGAGCTACAATGGAGAGGGAGCCTCAAAAGGCCGTCCAGTTTCGAATTCATACTAAAAACCATATCCGCTGCTATTGTGCTGCTATTGCCACGCCCTCAAGTTTCGTGGAATGAGTGAGAAAGGGCTATCGCTTGCAGTATATCTCCGAGTCAAGTCAATCTTGCCACTACCCTCGAGAGCAGCTAGCATTTCGGAGAGTCCAACAATTCAAGTTCGTACACAACAGAAGAAAGCAGCCGTTCGCATGCGACAGAGAAGCCGAGAACGTAAATGGACTCCTGGGTCGAAGTCGGCTACATATCACATTCATTGCGCGCGGGGATGAATATTTATACCGTCTCTTGACCTTGAACGTCAGTGCCTTGAACTGAACTGACTTTGTTAGTTTTTTTCCGCTTCTATCTTTCTCGTCCGCCAGCCAGCGATCTAATGGGAAGCAGCTCGGTCCCTAGCGTTCCTTCGCCACCGCGCGTTGCGCCACCGCACGCAATGACCGTTGAGCAGCTACTCCATTTCTTACAAGAGAGGAGCCACCTTCTTACGCTGGAAAATGAAAGACTGCGCCCACAGTACGAATTTCTCCAGGCCTCAGTCGATCAGAAAGAGGCTACGGTGAAATGGCAACAGTGGCTCATCCGCTTAGGAGAGGAGCATGTGACCTTGCTAGAGAGAGTACTTCAAGGGCAGTCAACTGAGACGGTGTCCGCGACGGAATCGCCGTCACAGTTCATGGAGCATCAGTTTCGGCAACAGACCTGCAGCTCACCTCTGAACACACCACCAAACCTGAGACTTGAGTCGAATCAAGACGGCGACAATACATCGTTTGTGGCAGGCATAACAGATGATGATGGCAGACGAGGGATCATTCAAGACGATTTGGAAGTGATGCAGCGATGCGCCGAATCAGAAGCCCTGGCTTATTTAGCATCCTACTGTTAGCTTCATTTGAATTGAGTGGAGAGAAATTGCCTTTTATTGTTTGTTTTCCCGGTAACCGCCTGCAACATATACCGGTAAACGTATATATCGGCGCTTCCTGCCGGCGTGATCATTGAATACAGCCTACGTATCCGTCTCTACCCGCGCGACCTGTTCAATATAACTCAGCCTTTGATAAGAAAACTCTTGTTTTTCTCCCCAGCTGGCAAAATTCTCCATTCGCCTAGCATCGATATTGTTTTAGTTTGGGTCTGCCCTAGGAGGTCGTCATGAGTGGGTCGAGGCCTGTATCCCTTCTCTGTCCGGCACAGTGAAAGGCGGTTGTGGCTTTGCTTTGCAATTTGGAGATTCACCATGTTATTATTGCATCACCATCCAGTCGTCTTTGCGAAATCAAACCTGACTCGGTATTATATTTGTATGTTACGCCATGTCATTGAAGTTATCCCCCGTCGTAACATGGTACCATTTCGTCTCTCCATGCATGTATAGATACATACGTATACATAAATCTGTGTAGATATCCATTCCCAGTGCGTCCAGCTAGACCCGAGGATCGCCTTGTGAACTTAGCCTTTACGAGCCGTTATTTTCAGTTCCTCTGGTATTGCTCATCAGATTGGAAGGGTCCACGGTAGAGTCCAATCCCATCTGGAAAGGAGCGCCTCCGCCTGTGGCTCCCTGTGTATGAAGGTTGGTCTGACCACTAATCGTGCGTACTATGGTCTCACTTATCCGCTGCGGTAATTGATTGTTGCTGTAGATCCTGTTAGCTATACTAGAGGGAAATTAGGAAGAAGAACTGCTACAAAGGGGTAAAAGGAACAGAAAAGAGAGAGAAGAAATCCCTAGTGATGGAGTTAGGACTAAGACGTACTCTGTTCTGATTTGCTTCAAGGCTTCTAAAAGCTCTGTTCTCGTCTGCTTCATGCTTTCAGAAGACTCAGTTCTCATTAGCTTCATGTTTTCAAGAAACTCTGTTCTCATTTTATTAATGCTTTGGAAAAAGGATTAGCCAAGGAAGAACGACAGAAAAGAGAAAAAATTAAAAAATAATAAAAGGCTTGACGGATACGACGACTCACAGTGTGAAGGTTGCTTTCGATCTGGGGTAAGCTAAGGTGTCAGCTTCAAAGTGGTGCAATGATGTAAGGCTGACTCACTGCTGGTTTATTAGGGCTTCCAGAACATAACGGTCGTCGTCTTGCGGCTCTTGCGGGTCTCCAAATTCTTCATCGCAGCTAGGTCTGCACTTCTTGTCAGTCTAACTTCGTTTGCGTGGTCCGTGTGATTGACGTGGCAAAGCGAGCAAAACGAAGGATTACGTCAAACAATGTGGAAGAAGGCAAATATAGATGGGACGAGAACAAGTACAGTGATATTGAAGAGAATAAAGGCGGAATAAATGAAGACAAAGAGAGGGAAAGTAAAAAAGGTCAGAGAGTGGGTAAGAGGGAAGGGTGAATGGATGGGGGGAAGACAGAAATAGGACAAACCCTTCATCATAGTAAACCATCTCGTCACCTTGCTCGTCCTCGGGATTAGCGACACGCAGTGGCTGCCGACCATACGGATCATCACGAACTGGGATCATTTGTCTCTGCCAAATGTTATCGACCGGCCGCCGATAGCTCCCCAGTGAACTAGACCGGACATCCTGAGGTGCCTCAAGAACAGTCGGTTTATGCCTGCCCCGTTTGGTCCTCCTATTAATACGCTGAGCCTCCCGCGGTGCTAGCACTGCAGGGCGCGACCGGATATAGGCTTGGGATAGTCTAGGGTTTGAAGACTCCATAGAAAGAGAATTGGATAGAATGGATCAAGGCACCTGTGTAGAAAAGAATGTCACACGGAATACAGATAAGAGGGGGAAAAGCCAGAGGAGACCGGTCAGGAGACTGATCGAGTGACTGAAGGACTGTGCCAGAGCTTACGATGCAGGTACAGCGGTGAATGTATCAGCGTCCAGTTCTTCCCTTCAACGCAGCTTTATATGTAGGAAATGGCTGTTACCGACAGTCTGGTTCAGCGCAGGCAGCAGCGCTCGTGTTGGGCGGCCGACGGGTCGAGTAAGTACCCAGCCATCGTGGGAGGAAGATACTGTAACCTTTCACAAATATTGTGTACCTTCCGAAAGTCCTCAGCAACATGCCCCTTTTGGACTTTGATCGTTTTTGTCGAAGCTATTCAGAAATCGACAATATACAGTCGCAATGCACCCGTCCGTTTTCTACGCTTGCCTACTGTTCTACAAGTTAGCACCGTTTGGCACCGTCCAGACTTTGGCGTCATTTCGCAGGTGCTACCAAAGCGTCCTTTCTAGACCTAGGTACTCGCGCTCTCTCTCTTTTTTTTCCTTTTCCTTTTTTTTCTGAAATCGGACATTTTGTCCGTCCGCCCTGGGACGACAAGCTGATCGCTTGCTTCGTTAGCGGAAAATCGCAGCTGCTTCTGGTATGGCGGTTGAGGTTGAAGAACAATAATTTCGGGGGACTCGTCTGCTCACTCCTAGCGCATGTTTGGTAGCGGAGTTACTGGCGTCCACCTTCTATGGACCTAATCTCTCATCTTAATGTTGGGATGTTGCTGCATGCAGCAGCATGTTACCGTAGTGGATACCATAAGGCAATGGCGTTTTGACAAATACAATTAACTACCCCATTTCTCAACGGTGGAAGCGGCTCCGAAAATCTTCGGACGCGCACAGGTAATGCTGAAAGCTTTCGGGGCCATCCTATTCTGCTGACTCGTTTCGTTGCAGATCTTGGGGCCGCAATTCACTTCCGGCCCGCCTTGACCCCACATGTACAACGTCAACCAAAACTGGCGGGGGCGGTTGAAGCCAAGTACGTTTTCTAAATCCAATTTTGGCTTAGAAACTGCTACACAAGGCAACGCGAACAGTTTAAGCATGTCATCCCACGTTGTCAAGCGGCATGGACCCATCCATTACCCAATCACCGCCAAAAGAGACTTGGCTATCAGCATGCTAAAACAGCAGGATATACTAGAACCCCCGATCTTTGATAGACTCAACCAACGGCTCACAACGGCCCAGGACCGAGAAGCTAGGTAAGAATAACGATAACAAAATATAAATAGGTATAAGTAGTTATAAGTAAATATGAGTGATTGAATAAAAAAGAATAAAAAAAACCCTCCGGATTCTTTCACGCTGGTGTAGGAGGGCGCGCTACAATGCCGATTGATACGTGTCGCAGGAAAAGGCATGATCTACGGCCTCAGAAAACTACTGTGTTAGTAATCTAGCTATATGCTTTACGTAACTCTGCGGAATGGAATACGCCGAACGAGAGAAAGCTTGGCAACAATCAATCAATACATTTGTTTGCTGCTGCTCATCACTTTCACTTTAGCCCTTCAAGCACGCTCAGTGCGATAATATGCCCCCGCTTCATCATTCGGATTGGCGCTCATTTCCAATCCCGAGGACCAACAGCCGCACGCCGAAATACTTCGGGTTTCTAGGGCCAAGCAATTGGGGGAGGACGGGAGTTGGTAACCCCCAGAGGTATCAACTGGAGAGACTGTTCGATAGCAAATAACCTATGGCGGCTTACAGGCCATTCTGACACCAGAATAAACGTGTGATGCCTTGTCCAGTGTTGCTCCGCAAATCAAGTGTTCCACCAGCGAGCGACAGCTGACATGCCCGGATAGAGCCAGCAACGGTTTCGTTATCTCCTCGCCCGGGCCATTCTTAGTTCGGCATCGGGGCCGCTTGATTTTGCTTGTTGACACAGATTCTGACAGCCATGATACCCCTGTGCTAGTGCGCGTGCTGTCATTCCGGATAACTTGCCTAGACTTCAGTCTAACTTAGACGATCTACGTGGTCCGGCACCAGTTCTTCAGCGCCTCGCTTCGTTCGACCTCGGTCGCTAGTCAGTGTCAAATTTTAGCTTTCCTGTAGTTCACATGATATCCCACAATGTAGGGGCGATATGCAGTTCATTCATGATTCACGTGAAGCACTTCATCGAGCCGTGAAAGCATGAAAGTGGATGGATAGACAAGCAAGAAAGCACAGACGCAGACAGGGATATTACGGCACTAAAGAAGGGGAGCGACAATATACATAATAAAAAAATAATAAAAAATAAAGAAAGAAAGGAACAAAAAGAGGGGAGGAAAAGCCGGAGACCGGGGAACCGGAATCACTTTAGCATGCGGAGTCATTTCGCAAGATTTTCTTCTGCTCTAAGAGTAAAGCTTCCTTCAACGGTGCGCGAGTCAGGGCCTTCGAGTCGACACTAAATCAAACGCCACCTGAAAATAGGGCGCTACGCTGTGCCATAAACGCCCTAGATCATCAGTGCAATGGTGCTTAGTCTCCGAGTAACAACGTCCGCTTCCGCCGCGTCAATTTTCCGCTCCTCTTAATCAGTGACGGCTCCAAAAGTAAAGTGGATCAAGAAGCCGTTTTCGCTACTCAGGTCGGGACTTTACCTGCATCCCGGCGGAGCCGAGCGACATCCTAAAAACAGTCACCCAGCAAGACGGAAAAGTCGAAATAGAACGAGGTGTAACGGAATCTCTACCGCACACACAGTTCTCAAAGACAGTCATTGCTGCTGGCAACTAAGCCCCGCGTAGTGTGTATGGTAGGAAACCAGACGGTATACGCCGTAATTCTTGGCTAACGCACAATAACCAATCGTTATTCTTGGCTTTACGGCTTGTAGAAGGTCACTGTAAGGCTGACTCGCGCCGTCATGGACGCAAGTACATCGGGACTAATGCCTATGCTCGCATATACTTTCTAGGTACATCTCCTGTGCGGCTAAGAGTAGGCCTATGGGCCAATTCTGCCACCTAAAGTGGACGATATGTCTGTCTAAAAGGTAGATAGATGTACCTCCAGGACTCATCTTAGAAATAGAGAGAATGTTGTCGCACGGAGGAAAATGCCTCTGCACTATACTGCACATTGAGCTGTAGAACATCCAGTCGCGCATCGGACTTGACCATTGGACAGCACGAAACTACAGGCTACCCTACACTCGCTAGCATCCTACATTGGCAGAAATGTGCCAACCTTCCT